AAACATCTATGGGGTTTTTAAGGACCGCAAGTGTAAAGACCTTAGTTTTACTTCTCCAAAAGCAATTTTCTTCGAATGGCGTACTGGGACATTGCTGCACTGAACCACCAATACCACTTCCTGCAGAACTCTGGGTTTTCTTTGGACATCTGTCTTCCAAGCACAGACCCAGTCCAACCCGACTTAGTCTGGAAGAGCTGGCAAGATCACAGTCTGAAGTATGAACTTTTATTTCTGTAATGTCCCATTTCATTTTTTCCCTGTGGCTCCCTCTAATAATAAGCAACAATCAATTACTTGTATTGCAGGATGACAAGCCCCTGTAATGCCACGGGACCCGAAGGTGCTAGGATTTGCACAAAAAATGAACAAAAAGACAGTCCCTACCCCAAAGAGCTTACTTTTCTTCTTAGGTGTAACCCCAAGAGTAATTTAATAAACAATCTCAGTTACTGTCACTTGTGTGAGAGATCAATGAGCCCTCCCCCCAATTTCTAGGTTAAAAATTCTTGGATAAATTTAGCAATTTGATCAGGGATGGTTTCTGAACAGTCTTTTGGGTCTCCCTCTCTACCCCATCTGGGAAAGCTATGATCTTTATGCTGTTGTCCCTTCTTTGAACTGTATTCTGAATTAAATTTGTCCTGCTTAGTTCCATCTTTGTTCTGACACTTTCTATAAGGGTTTTTCTGCTAAAAGGATCCTTGTCCTCTAAAGTGGCTATTCTCTTTCCATCTCAGTAACCCTGTCCCTTAAATTTGAAGGGTCAGTTTTGTTTGTTTCATCTTCTGACATCCTCTGCATTTCTTGCAGTATTCTGATAACATTTTTTTTTGCTGAGATCACTAATAGTGTCTAGATTTCTGCAAGTCTTCTGCTCCTTTGATGCAGTTTTTCAGTTTTCCCTTTTTAAGAATCCCAGCCAAGTGGGTAGATAGGATAGGATCATGGCCAAGTTGTCATTCACAGAGAGTTTTGTTTTGCTTTGTGTTAGTATTTTCTACATTAGGTGCTTTCAGCTCTGGCGACTAATAACCGTGAAATCTTAACAGCCATTCAATATATATATTGTATACAATACTGGGCCACATTCCCAACAACTGTATATGGGTACAGCTCCATGCATAATGTATTGGCTTCAAGTCAATGGGACTGGTTGCATGCTAAAAGGTAACTATGTGCTTGTTTTTTATGTGTCTCTATTGGTTTTAACAATGAAGTAAAAGTTCTGTGTAAGAATACTATAGGATACAAACAAGTAACAAATACGTGCTTTGCAAAAATGTGAGCGAAGGGATTGGGTTCTTGTTTACAGTGCCAGAGGTTCAAATCCCGTGAAACTCCTGGTAGCAGAAGTGAAAATTAACTTACCTTGATACATGGTAGATTCTCCATCATTCAAAGGCTCTGAATGAACACTGATGTCTTCCTAAAAGATATACTCTAGCTCAGCCAGAAGTTACCAGCTAGCTCTAAGAACTACTGAGTGAGATTCCATGGCCTGTGTTATGCAGGTCAGACTAGATGTTCAGAATGGTCCATTCTGGACTTACAATCTATGAAAAACAAAGTTCTGGATCACTGCATGAGTTTCCTCCGTAGAGATCTCATGAACCTCTCACTTGTAATCCATGTTTCCTTTAGATAAGAGAAAAGTTCTTCCCATGTCATGTGAAATTCTTCTGCTTCATCAACCTTATACAGAAGATATTCACATGATCAAATCAGGTATAATAATGAACTACTTTGATGGGTGCAAACCACGTGGAAGAATTTTGTAATTAATGTATGTTTCACACAAGCCTATAATCTCAGTTTTGTCTACACTATATCACAGAATCATAGAAGATTAGGGTTGGAAGAGACCTTAGGAGGTCATCTAGTCCAGCCCCCTGCTCAAAGCAGGACCAACACCAACTAAATCATCCCAGCCAGAGCTTTATCAAGCCGGGCCTTAAAAACCTCTGAGGATGGAGATTCCACCACCTCCCTAGGTAACCCATTCCAGTGCTTCACCACCCTCCTAGTGAAATAGTGTTTCCTAATATCCAACCTAGACCTCCCACACTGCAACTTGAGACCATTGCTCCTTGTTCTGTTAGCTGCCACCGCTGAGAACAGCCGAGCTCCATCCTCTTTGAAACCCCCCTTCAGGTAGTGGAAGGCTGCTATCAAATCCCCCTTCACTCTTCTGCAGACTAAATAAGCCCAGTTCCGTCAGCCTCTCCTCGTAAGTCATGTGCCCCAGTCCCCTAACCATTTTCGTTGCCCTCCGCTGGACTTTCTCCAATTTGTCCACAGCCTTTCTGTAGTGGGGGGCCCAAAACTGGACTCACTAACCAGATGTGGCCTCACCAGTGTCAAATTGAGGGAAGTGATTATTCCCCTCTATCTGCTGGCAATGCTCCTACTAATGCAGCCCAATATGCCGTTAGCCTTCTTGGCAACAAGGGCACACTGTTGACTCACATCCAGGTAGTGTCTACATTTTGTTTCTTCATACACATCTCCAAGAGCCTTTCTTTCAGCTCTACCCACACTGTGTAAGTCCTAATCATCTTACGCTTTGAATACATTGATATCTTCCTGCCTGACCTCGATATCTGAAAATCTGCCCCTGTCAATTCAATTCAAAATGCTGCTGCCACTATCATCTTCCACCCTTGCTATGTTAATCCCTCTTCAAGTCTTTCCACTGAGTCCCCCTCTTCTAATGCATCATTCACAACCTTCTCGTCCTAGCCTTCAAAGACAGCCACAGTTTAGGCCTGAGCTATCTATCCTATTAGCTTAGCACTGCCAACCTTTGCTCTGCCAGTGATACTAGCCCAATCCCGCATTTGTCCACATTTCTTACAAGCACTTTCATGCTTTCTCCCATGCTGCCCTTTACACGCCAGACAAACTCCAAGTCATTTCTTACCAAGTACTACTTTCTTTATGGCCCTATGTCACAGTACATAGAGAAGACTGCCATCTGATAATGGCTGGGCAGGTGGTGAGTTGCGGTTCCTACTACAGCCTGGCTAAGCACAGCAGCCATAAGCTTGTGTGGGCCAAAACAGCCTTTTATCTTGTTTTATCTTGTCCTGTCCTCCCCACCCCCACCTTCTTGTTTGTCTCATCCACCTAGAGTTGCCAGGTGTCTGGTTTTCAACTGGAACACCCAGTTGAAAAGGGACTCTCCCCAGCCTGGTGAAAATGAGCAAGTGAGGGTGGGGGAGAGCGAGCGACAAATAATCATACCGCTGGGTGGGCTTTTCAAAAGCCTTCAGCCTTGACCCAGTATCTGCTCCCATTGAAGTCCACGGCAAGACTCCCACTGACTGTCATGGGATCAGCGTTCAGTCAGTGCTGTGTGCTTTTGTAAAATCACACCAAGCATTTTCAGGGAAGGAGGTTCACTCAGCCATGGGGGTGGTGGGAGGGAGATATGCCCAGCCATTGTGGCACCAGCCTGGAAGCTGAGATGGTGCATCTATGCAGCAAAGTCAGGCTGGCCTCGCAGCATGATCGAACAATATTAATGCCAATCTAGTTCTAGCAGCATAAGGAGGCACAACTGTTGCCAAAGCCAGTGCATTAAAGGCCACGGAGGTCCCAGGCCGTTGTACCCAAGTAAAGACTGCCCGGTTGGACCCCCCCAGTCCCATGAATTCCTCAGGGAGCTCCCTTGACAGAAGTGGGTCAGCATGGAGGGAGGGGGGATCCCACAGCCAGGCTGTATCAGGAGCTCATTGGGATCACTGCCTATTGTACTGGTAGCTCCCCTGGCCCCACTTGGCTGTGTTTTGCAGAGTTCTGAGCCACCCACCAAAGCAGGCAGGAGCCAGCCCCCTACAGGCAGGCGGGACGCCCCCAGGGAAAGCGACGAAGGGTGCCTCTGGGACTAGAGCCTCCATTGTCTGTGCTGGAGGGGAGAGGGGGCAGAGCTGAAGAGCTCTGTGGGGCTGGAAAGTTTCTCCCTCTCTCTCTCTCTCTCCATCAAATTGGTCCAAGGGAAGATACCAGCGCATCCCCCTTGCCTCTCTCATACCCCTTGGCACAGGGCTGAAGCAAATGCCCCTCCCCCATTTTCTTTGTGGGGGGGGTTCATGCTACAGAGGAGACTGAGGATGGAATTCGGGGGGTGGTGGGGGGTACAGCCCCAACTCCCCCCTCAGCGCATACCTTCGTCCCGTCCCGTCCGTCCCCCCCCCAGTTCCCCCCGCAGGCAGCCTGCGCTGAGCGCTGCACCAGACCTCAGTCTCTGCCATGGCCGGGGCACCTGGCGGAGGTGAGCCCTGCACGCGCAAGGCGCGCGGGGCCGGGGGGGGGGAGGGGCAGGCACGCGCCTCGTCACTGACACACCTGCTCTGGGGCTCCGGGGCTGCGCCCCGCGCCGCTGCCCTGCCGCTGAGCTGGTCTCGCGGCGGCGGGGGCCGGGCAGCGCCCCGGGCCGCCCCGCTGGCTGGGCAGGCGGGATTCCCCGGCTGCGTTTCGGGTCGCTGAGCTGGGGCTCCCACCCCAGCAGTGCCACGAGGCAGCGCTTCCCGGGGAGCGAGGCGTGCGGGGCGGGCTGTCCTTCGTCTCCCGCTCCCTCCCTCCGGCGCGTTTGCCACCCCCCTGAGCCCGCGGGCGGGCAGCACCTAACCTCTGGGTGGGGGCGAGGGGGACACGTGGAGGGCAGCTGAGCGACCCCTTGGCTCCTGCCGTCGCTCGCTGCTCATTGGTTTGAAAACTAACCAGCTTGGGGGGGGGGGAATCTCGGATCTTGAGCTGCACTTAATGAAACAGGCTGGGGGAGGGGGGAATCCTACTCAAGCAAAGCTCCCAGACTCTAGTGGGAATTTGCAGGGTCTCACCCCCACACACACCCCTCTAGTGGGAACTTGCAGGACCCCCCCCCCCCCCCAGCACCAGTGGGAATTTGCAGAGACACACAAACACACAACCCAGTGGGAATTTGCACGGATTCCCCCATCCAGTGGGAATTTGCAGGGACACACACACACACACACACACACACACAGTGGGAATTTGCAGGAACACCCTCCCGGTGGGAACTTGCAGGGACACAGGAGCGCGAGCTCAGGGTGCCCAGGGCGCCGCGCGGCTAGCAGGCTGCAAAGGTCACATGCCCGTCCGCTGCCCCATTGTGGGTGCGTTGGCTCGGAAAGGGCAGCGATCATCTCTCTCGCAACGGGATCGTGGCACCCGCGGACAGCCCTGCTCCCCCCTTTGGAAAAGCAAAGCTTTGGGAGGAATTCGCAGTGTTTTCCTTGCCGATGAGCACCTGCTCATTGCGGTACAACTCCGCTGATTTATGAACTCCCCTGAGGGGCTAGTAAGCACCCTCCCATACCCATGTGATGGAAGCTCCTGGGAGACGTCTATTTCCTGACCCATTTCTCCCAGTCCTTAGCCCGTTCCTGGGCTTTTCTTTCATCGGCTGTAACACTAGAAGCCTGGAGTCTCTGTCTCTTTCCAGGATCTAAGTCCATCCCCCTCTGTCTCTGGCATGCACGCACATATGCCCTATAACTCACTGCTTCGGTTTTTTATGCACTACAATTGCTCTTAATGCATCTCCTCTTGGTTGATCTGGCCTAGGATCCAAAAAAGAGCCTCAGAGGCCCACGGGACTGTCCGGGTAAGATTACAACGAGCCCTTTTAGCCTGGTGCAGCATCCTCACTCGGGGGAAGCCAGCCAGCCCTGCCTGGCAGAAGCGCTGGGATATTTTTAGGGGGACTGCATGGGATTTCCCCATTGACCCATTTCTCCCGGGAAGACGGTGGCGAGAGAAACAGGATCTGCTTTTGGTTTTTTATGGAAACTTTTTAATTGTGTGTTTATTGCAGCAAATCCCTCCAGAGGAAAGCTCTCAAAGGCAGGCTCATAAGCCTCATCAGCTTTGCACTGCCTTTGAAGGAGAGCGGTCGGATGATCTGCATGGTGTGAGGAGCCATGAGACCAGACGACATTAACCCTAGGACGGGACTAGTGGTGGCTTTGGTCAGCGTCTTCCTTGTTTTTGGCTTCATGTTTACTGTATCTGGGATGAAAGGGGAGACCCTGGGAGACATCCCCCTCCTGGCAATAGGACCTGCTATTTGCTTGCCGGGCATCGCTGCCATTGCACTAACGAGGAAAACAGATGGCTGCACCAAATGGCCTGACAACAAGCGACCCTGCAGCAAGAAGGCGAAAGACAAGGAAGTGGTGGAGCTGCTGAGAACGCCCTCGGATCTGGAATCGGGCAAAAGCAGCTGCGATGAGCTAGCCAAGAAGGCATACCTAAAGGACAGGAAAGTGCCGAAGGGAGAGGACTCTGTGTCCATCTGCACCACCACCACAACCACCACCACCACGGGAGAATGCAAGAGCCTGATCAAAAGGGTGGACCAGGAAGAGATGCTGAGATACCTGGAGACCTGCTCCACGGAGATGCCAGGGAACGTGCTAGTGGGAGAGGGTCCCACTTACAGTGCCTTGGAAAAGAAGAGTTCTCCTCCCTGGGACAGTGTTGCCTGCCCTGACACAGAGGACAACATTTTTGTGGCTCCAAAAGACAGTATAATTGTCTGTTCCTACAATGAGAATAGCCCTTACGACAGATACTGTTGTTATATAAACCCTACTAGAGTCAGCTCGGACCATGAGACTATAGTTTGAATGATGCACATTTTATATATCTCTATGTATTTTTACAGACTCTACGTCTTTCAGCTCTTAATAGGGAAAAGTAGCTGATTGCACTGCATGGAACACTCCTCATACTATTACAAATGTAACCTGGTATGTGACTGATGCTCAAACCTTTTGTGCCTGAAATACTTTCTGTAAGTAAATAAGCATGTTTAAGGCTAAGAACTCCTTCTTCTTTGTGAAAATCAATTTTGATTTTTTTAAAAAATGTCAGTGCTGAATATTTTGTCTAGACACCCTCTCTCCCAAGACCCCAGCTCTTGGACAAGTTGGCAAGATGAAGGCATTGACTGTCTGCTAAAATCAAGGCAAGAATCAAAAGTCTGGAGCTCCCTGTGTAAAATAACATGCAATATGGATGAGTGGATCTTAGGAATAGTGTCACTTCCTTTATTTCTGAAGGAATTGACAGAAGCCAACATGCAGTTGAATTAGTTGGCTGTCTGATGTTAAGCTTTTAGAAAAGCTTTTCAGTTCAATCAGTCTTCAGGCAGGCAAAAACTGACTTCAGTTTTCCGCTCTTATTAGATTTTACATGACCTTGTTTTAGGAAATCAAAGAGCAACATTGTAGGTTATTACCCTGCAAGCCTCCTGAGTTGAGGAAGGGGACTAGGATAGAAAGAATTTTTGAAGGCAAATCTACCAGCAGTCATATCAAAGGTACAAGTGTTTGGCTATTTTGCTTCATTCTTATTTGTTAATGAATCCACCAAAGTCTTTCTAATATGTGTGGCACTTACAGCTGTACTTTATAACAAGATATTGATAAAATCATTGTAGAGACTTAGCAGCAAGGGTAACTGGATTTGGGAGATTATATATATATATATACATATAATCACTTGGAGATTTAGGGCCTGATCCAACTCCCACTGAAGTCAACAGACTCCTATTGGCTGTAACAGAAGCTGGATCAGGCTCTTTGCGGGGGAGGGATAGCTCAGTGGTTTGAGCATTGGCCTGCTAAACCCAGGTTGTGAGTTCAGTCTTTGAGGGGGCCATTTGGGATCTGGGGCAAAAATTGGGGATTGGTCCTGCTTTGAGCAGGGGGTTGGACTAGATGACCTCCTGAGGTCCCTTCCAACCCTGATATTCTATGAAGTGTCATCCTCACATACCTTTTCAAAAACTCCAGATGTTTATCTATGGATCTTGAATAATGATATTTTATTCAATATTATGAAAGCCATTTTTAAGGTGGGGGAGACTAGAGAAATATGGTTGGCATGATTTTTCCACAACCATGCGGTATGTTTTGTTAACTAGTTCACTGATCACAGATGCATAATACTGGAACCATGACCTGACTGATGTGAAAGCATAGTGGTTAACCCTTCAGAACCTGCAGACTGCACACACATATATAATACAAATTACATAAACGTACTACAGATTACACATATTCTAACGTGTATATTACCATATGAGATAGTATAGATATAATATATATATATATATATATATATATACATGTAATCTATACAGCCAATCTAAGGGTTAAACTTTTAGAAAAAAATGTTTGCTGAAGCATAAAATAATTTGTTAGCATTTCACAGACAAAGCCTTGATTTCCATAACAAAATGCTCAACAACCGCTCTAAAAAGTCTAGCCCTGTTGGAAGTCTTAATAACAGTTCTTGCTTTAGTTATTTTTAATAAACCATAATTTGCACCAGACAGACTTATTGACCTACCAGTGTAAAAAGAAGCCATCCCTGGCTAACAGGACTCTGGGAATATTCTGCAGAAACTGCTCTGGAATTTTCCACTGAGAGATTGAAAGCTGAACAACTCCTCATTATGTCTGTGCAATTATTTGGAAAATGAAAGGAAACCTCAGGCATCCTGAGGGTCCATCCATTTGGAAACTGCTCTCAAATTGTTACAGACAACCAGCTCAAAGGAGATTGCCAAAGGGAGGTTTCGGAAGATTTCCCAGCATGGGCATTCTCTGCTTCTCTCTGGTGCACTAAACGTAACATTGTTTATTTTATTTACACATTTATGTACTGATTTTTCACAGATTGCCCATTGCTGTGGCATCTGGGTGCTATTCAAACAAATAAAACAAATGCAGGTTAGTCTCAGTCAAGTAAAGCCAGTTAATATTAATACACCATAGGTCTTGCTGCTGTGGTGTGTAGTTCAGGGACTCGTATTTGCAAAACTCGAGCTTTTGTCAGAGTAAATGAGTCCCACAGAGAGAGACCCTCAACTGAATATGTTCAACTTCCAGCCCTGGACAAAGACACTCCAGGGATTGTCTCCAAGAATAGCTCAAGAGATCTTAATCACCATAACAGAATATAGGGCCTGATCTTGCAAGGTGCTGAGCATCTCCTGGATGGTGCTGAAAGCCAGATCCTGCTCCCATTAAAGTCAATAGCTAAAATCCAACTGACTCCCATGGTGCAGAATATGGCATTCTGAGTGCCTTCAGCCCCCATCAGTGGTAGTTGAGGATGTTCAATATTGTGCAAGAGGTGCTTAGCACCACTTGAGATCAGGCCCACCAGCAGAAAGGCAACCTCTCAGATAACTGAGTCCTGAATTGTAGAGACTACAATGTAAACAACCCTTTGCATTGTGTTTGGTAGCAAATAAGTAGCCCATGCAGAACACCGATTAGGACAGTTCTGCAAATATGTATGAAGAAGAGGTTGAATGTTTTTTTTGCTTAGGTTTAAATGCTGTCTGCCAAACCACACATTTGAAACATATTAGAAAGGTCTCTCATAAGGCTAGGCAATAAATTCTAATGGCAAATGGCATGACAAAGATATAATATGCAATCAAGCAACTTTGAGTCATGAACTATATTCCATTCAGACTGTTAGACCTCAGGGTTTTGCTTTTTCATTAATGAAAGCAGATTTTTATGGCAATGAAAGTTACTCACAATTTTAAAAAATTGAATGTTAAAAATAGTGAAGATTATGGATGGAATCCTGGCTCCATTGAAGTCAATGGGTCCAGGATTTTACATGTTAAGTTTAAAGAGTATTTATAGGTCATTTAACATAAGCACAAATAGGAATTTGAAACCAAAGGAATATGGACAAACCTTCTCTGAAATCTCTCTACTTGAGAATCTTTCCTTTTCCCATGTTCAGTATTACTTTTAATTAACGGAATAGAGTGAAATCAGGGATAAATTGGCCATTTAAAAAAAATGTCTCTAGGGTCTGATCCAAAACACTGACTGTGACCCTTTCCACTGACTTTGGTAAGCTTTGGTTCAAGCCCTTAGTGTCCATGAAAAGTGCCAAACTGATAATCCTGGAGATTAAAGCCCTCTGTTTACACACAAGACAAGCAGAGCATAGGCAAATTGTCTTTGTAGAGATCAGGTGATAAAGCACTCAAGACAGATTTTTAAGATTTATAAAATCTAATTTTTATTGTAGCATTTATTGTAACTTCTGCACTGATGGGTATTATTTTTTTCTGAAGTAATGTAAAAGTGATGCACAAATCAACTGTGTTCATTATATAGTCTGAAGTGTTGCTTTATTTAATTTTATTTTGTTTGTTTGCAGCATTTTTATCCACACAGATTACATTACAAAAAAAAAAAAACCATGCAGTTTCTTTAACAGAAAACCAGGAAACCTTTTCAGCAGCCATAATTCTCTATTAATTTTCTAGTCTCTGCTCAAGTGTAATTGCATTTTCACCTCATCATTGTCTAGAAAGCAAACAAAGGAAACAAAAACACAATGTGTGGCCTGATCCTAGCAAGTGCTGAGCGCCCTTCGCTCTGAGTTGACTTCAGTGGTGACAGTGCTGAGTCCTGCTCAGGACTGGATCCATACAACTGATCTGAGTTTTATAGAAATATGATGTTGTCCCAATGGCACTTTTCCCTTTCCCTTGGTGATTTTTGTTTTTGTTTGTTAATGTAATTTCTTCTCCTTCCCTCATCCCACGCCTTTGTTTTGAGCAGTCTAATTTGGCTTATTACATTAAGGACCAGTTTCTGACACTTACTCATGTTGAGTGACACCTTAGTTTGTGAACAGCCCCAGTGATTTCTAGCTGACTACTCATAGAATAAGGGACTACTCAATGTCAGGGTGGCAGAATCTGTCCCTACATCATCAGCCTAATTGAGACGGTGATATAAATCATCACTCTGGTTGAGATGGTCACTCCTTGGAGCATGGGCTTTGTATTTTCCATGTGTGTGAAGCATCATATAATCATAGAAGATTAGGGATGGAAGAGACCTCAGGAGTCTAAGTCCAACCCCCTGCTCAAAGCAGGACCAATCCCCAACTAAATCATCCCAGCCAGGTCTTTGTCAAGCCTGACCTTAAAAACCTCTAAGGAAGGAGATTCCACTACCTCCCTAGGTAATCCATTCCAGTGCTTCACCACCCTCCTAGTGAAACAGCTTTTCCTAATATCCAACCTAAACCTCCCCCGCTGCAATTTGAGACCATTACTCCTTGTTCTGTCATTATTCACAGCGATGCTCCTATGGACATTTTAATCACAAATTATAACTAACAATCAAAATAAATAGGTAAATTATGATCAGTAATTAAGTCACTTTAGGTCTCGTTTTCAAAATGGTCATAACCATGCCTCATTAGGGGCCGGATTTTATGAGGTACTGAGCACCGTTTGTTAGGGTTGAGCACCTTCAGTAATCATTGAAGTCGCCTCCACGCCATGTTACTAAGCTTGAGCCACATCGTGTTGATAGAAACCATTGGCCTGAAATGATCCAGCTTTGTCCTCCCAGCTGTAAAGGGGTTTTCAAGTTGCTAATATCAGTGCTTTAAAAGAAGGGTTTTCTATCAAATGTAATAGGACTTTTTTTTAGAAAGTATTGTCTCAACTCCCCGCGTGGGGTTTTTGTCACATGCCTCATATTTCTAATCTGATTCTAATCTGCAGACACTGTACATGGAGTTCCCATGGGGACAGATATATGTTGTGTTGATGTTTGTTACTTGTCTTTCCCATGGGATTATGACACCAGGATGCTCTTGCATTCTGCATCCATTTTCAACGAGTGCAAAAATCCAGTCCAGGATTTATTTATGATATTCAGAGGCAATGTTTTTTCTAGTGATGCCTGAGGTTACCCTGAGTCTGTCAGCCCCGTAGAATGCAGAGGAGACAGAACTACATTTCCTTTACCAGCCAAGTGGATTCTAGCTCCCTTTGTTTTTAAATGCACAGAAGGTAACACAGTGAGGAGCAAGCTCTGAAGGTTATGGGTATTGGCCTGATTCTGCTGTCAGATGCACTCACAGACCTTTATGCTTGCATAGAGTCCCATTGACTTCAGGGATGTTCCATACAAGTGTAAGGATCTACACTGATGCATCTGTTTGTAAGACCAGGGTCATATGATGCAACACAGTGACATTCATTAGAGATGGGCTCAGATAACACTACCCCACCCCTTAGATCTGAACTCCCCCAAGATTTGGGGAAGTTTAAATACACATCCAGAATTCATCGCAACACTCCTGGTGCTTTAAAACCCCACCTGTCATTTAGGAAAGGAGAATCTCCTTGTAGGAATTCAAATGTTATTCAACAGCATATGCCTTGTTAGGCAGAATATCTCCTGCAAGACCTGTGGAATTTAAAGGCTGCAGGACTGTACTATTATAACCAGCGGTGAAATACTGGCCTCACTGAAGCCAATGGCAAGACTCCTGTTTTCTTCAATGGGGCCAAGATTTCACTCAAGATTTTCTAAAGTGCTTAGCGCCCAGCAATTCCTCGGAAAACCAATCCCCACATTGCCCCATTGAGAACACTGGGAGCTGCTGAAGGTTTTGGAAAACCTGGCCACTTGATTTAGGGGCCTGAATGGGAACTGAGCTCTTTGAAAATCTGGCCTTTAATGTACTGTCCAGGTGGGCCAAAACCTGGAGCAAGCATAAATAGAGGCAACATCCATCCACTAAGTGAAAGAAAGGGATACACGGCTTCATCATTTTTTCTATTTTCATTGTGTCGGTTTCATTGTGTTCCACTCCAGTCAGTGTATTTTTGTGTATACTTTCTATCTCTTTGCCAGATTCAGCAGCATCCGTATGCCTTTCTGGGCCGGGGCAAGGCCTTTCTTTTTGCCCTTAGGTAGAATTGGCTGGGGCAGGCCCCATTTTTCATCTATTCCCAGGGTGACAGGAAGGGTTAATACATCACAGATTGAATGTAAAATATGCATCTGATCCGCAGAAAGTGTGCCTCTTCCTTACTCCCATTTAAGTAAACTGAAATTGGGGGTGCTCAGCACCTCTAGGATCAGTCTCTAAGCCAACAACTGGTGCATCATGAAGCACCCGATGCAAAAACACACAAGAAACCAAATTCTTTTTAAAATTCAGGGGTGAAGACATTTTGTTTTTCAGAACTCATAAATACAGCAAATGGATTCCTATGCTTTAATTCAGTGTCAAAACTTAATCTGTAAAAAAAACCCAACCCCTTGATACACTTATGGAACAGCCTGCACTGATATGCCTTCTTCTAGAGCCTTGTGGCTTTACAAAGCATTTTGCTGCTCAGGGCTTTCAAGCCAACCAAACTCACACAGCTGTTTTGAATTGATTTATAACTCCGAGGAGAAAAAGTGCATTTGATTATTTGTTTTAAACCTAGGGATCAAAGCTCATGCCAGGGGTGTCAGTTCGGGCCAGTTGCTCAGGGAGAAGAAAGGGAAAACATAGGAGGCAAGCGTACTGGGATAGCTGGAAGGAAGGGAGCAGCTATTTACAAAACAACCAGTGTAGGGCTGCCGGTCCTTAGCTCTGCCAGATGTAAAGGATGCCCTGCCCCCCGAAAGGCATGCTGAGAAAAGGTTCTGAGGCAAGGACTGATAGTGACCAGGAAGTTACTGGGGAGGGAGCGAGTGAGTGATCTGCATAGCACCTCAGGTCTGACCTTCTGGCTGTCCACGTAGGGACAGGAGCTATCCACACAGAAATGGGGGTCCGTCCTGCATGATTGAAGCCAATGGGAGTATTACCATGGAATAGTATGAGAGCAGGATCGGACTTGTACTGCATAATCAGGTTCAGTCTGGCTCTGTAAAGTTTCCCAGAATGGTTGGAAGGCTCTTGACATTGGGTCCCTTCCTCCTGAGCAGCTGCTTCAGCCTCCTTAGTTTGAGAGCTGCAGATCTGCTGGGGACGCGCTCTAGGCTAGGTCTACCTACATATCCCAGGAGCTAATCTTTGATTTCATAGTACCTCTAGAAAATATAAACACAACCTTAAATGTTAGGTAGTTGCTACCAAGTCTTCAGTGGAAGCTAGGTGCTCCATTTCAAGAAAAAAAGAAAGTTTTCCCAGTGTTAGGTTTGACTGAATAAACTCTGGGAACTACTAAACCTGGAAAATTGACTTACCAATAAAGTTACAACATTGGTGATTATTTTATAGTTTGATTGTTCCATCCAGTCTTTGGCAGTCAGACAGTTTAGTTAAATATTACATAATTTTGTAATTCTTTTTCAGCTTTGTATCATCCTATTGATTTCTGATGCCTGTGTGCATCATTACCTGTACATAGCCTGTATTGAAATGAAATTGTAATAAACAGTAACCAGAATATCAACACTTCATAAAAACAGAGTGGTATTCTTGTTGTCCACATATGCTGTTTTCCTATGACTGCAAACACTGAGGGCCCAATCCTGTGAAGGGCTGAGAGCCCCCAGTAACAATGGAGCACCTTCACCTCCCACTTGGGAGAGAGTGTGGAGGGTGCTGAGCACCTTGCAGGGGGTACTCCACCCCTCTCAGGATCAGGCCCTAACACTGGAAAGACTCACTATCCACTACTACTTTCAAATTTAAAGACGGAATAGATATTTTAAAAAAGAGGAGGAAAATATCACCAATCAACATAAGTGTAACATCTATTGTATCCCCTTTCTACACAAAAACTTCTGCACCAGCTGATTGTTCACAGATCTGTGTCATAGGAGAGCACTTAGCTCTTCAGAGCTTTACAGAGTCTCATATCCTGGTGATTGCTTGGTAATTTGAGTTCTGATTGGTCACACTGGTCCCAGGGCCTTTGAGAGAAATTTGGGGCTCTGGTACATGACATTCACTAAGGCCCCACCCCTCCCATTTCACCTCAGTTACAGATGTTTAGAGGGCCTCCCTGAGCTTGGGGCCTGGTACAATTGTCCTCCCTCTCATCAGCCCTACCTGCACTACTGCAGCCAGTGGGACATTAGCCATTGAGTTGAGTGGGAACTGGATCAAGTCCTATGGCTATACTATCTGGTGGTGTGAATCATCTTGCACAGGAGATGTTATCTCTTTGGTGAAAGCTGTAATTGAATTACCCTGAGTTTTTCTTGCAGTAACTTTACTCATGTGTTCAGCCCCATTTAACTCAATGGAAATAGAGCTAGGTTTGTGTGGTTTGCAATGAAAAAGCGACTTTTTAAGAAATACAAAAACTTTTATTTTTGTTTACATTTTTTTTTGTGGAAAATTTTCATTGTTACAACCAATCCTAAATAGAACTACTTCATGTGTGCATGAATCTACCCAAGTTTTTACGTGTTTGCAGGATCGGGGCCCTATGAGTTTATAGTATGATTTTCCGCAATTTTGTAAAATGCTGAATGTAACATTTTCAACCAGATCATCCCAAAGCAGGATAGATCCCACAAGGCATCATGCTGCTGCCTAATTCATTTTTAATTGGCTTGAGTGCTCAGCAGCTCCATTAGTTGCTCAGCACCCTGCAGGACTGGGTCCTATGTAACTTCCAATAAAAATGTGGTCTCATATAACATTGAATGTCACAACAGGGTCATGAGCAGCCAGGCCTAGTAGTTGGAGGCAGAGTCCACAGTCATGAGACAGGAGTCAAGAGTCAGGAGCTCGGAAGATCAAAAGCAAGAGACAAACTGGAGATCAGAACCACAAGTTGGGAGCCAGAGACAGGACAGCTCAGGATATCAGGGGGTCAGAGGCAGGCGACAAACTGGAGGTCAGGAATCACAAGTCAAGCCGGGTCTGGATGCCAGGAAATTGAGCAGCAAGACCAGGAAGTGTGGGGTGAGGCGAGCCCACTTGTTCAGACAGCTGCCTGTTCCTGCTGCTGGTTTAAGCAGTGCCAGTCAACTACTCTGGAACTCCACCAATTGGGCCTCAGGGGCAGAGCCTTACACTGGGTGAGGCTTCATGGGTCCCAGATAAGTCATTGTTAGCAGGCTACCGGGGGGAGGGTTGGAGTGTGGAGTGTTGTTTGGGTTGGAGTGTTGGGAGGGTTGGAGTGTTGTTTCCATGAACTCTGTGAATGTGCATTTGAGACCTGTCAGTCATGATAATAAAACAGATCTTTTGAGGGCGGTGAGGGGAGCTAGGTGGCAATGCAGTTTTGGCCAGATCCATTAAACATTGTTATCAAGGTATGTCTGTAAACCCCGTGTACCTGCCAAATCATCTGAGAACACTGCAACTTGTATTTCGCATAGTACTGTACATTCATTTCACAATAGACAAATACCCACTTCACCAGACCCATTTGCATAAATGACACTAATCAAGATAGGTTTCAGAGTAGCAGCCGTGTTAGTCTGTATTCGCAAAATTAGCTCACGAAAGCTTATGCTCAAATAAATTGGTTAGTCTCTAAGGTGCCACAAGTACTCCTTTTCTTTTTGCTAATCAAGATGCCATCAGCACAATTGATACTAATCAAAGCCTTTCTAGACGTCTCACCAGACATTCAACGAGCTATGGAAAACTATCACTGCAGAGATGGTCCATCCAAGATAGCGGTGAGAGCCATTGACAAAGCAACAGAGGGATGCTTACAGTGGTGTTGTCCATGATCTTCTTCTTCTGCAAGTAAACAGCCCAATCCAAAGCCCTCTGAAGTCACCAGGACTCTTTCCATTAACTTCATTAGGCTTTGGACCAAACCCAAAGATATGCCCTCAATAGCCACGGCCGTCAGTTCAAGAATTTTCCTAAGCACTATCACACAAACATTTTACAAAACTAAAATGCTCATACCACTGACTTATATTTAGAATAACCTGGACTCAGAAAATGTTCATTATAATGTCCTTTAATCCTAGCAGTCTACATTAGCATAACATAGATGAGCAAGAATTGCAACTTTTCTACAAATGACTATGCAATAGATAGAGTGAATGATAACAAATTCACATTTCCTAAAAGGCCTGTGATCTGTCCCTTTCTGTCATTTCTAAAACCGATTTTTAATATGTTTGAAAAATGACTGTTAATTCAGTGACTGTGTAATGCTAGATATATAATGCGTGATGCAATGGTGTAGATCAAAGTGTTTCAGGAACATACATGGTATTCAATTTGGTATGGCTGTTAGCTCCTCTTTTTTTATATTCAGTATGCGGAAAAGAAGAATGAGGGGGGATTTGATAGCTGCTTTCAACTACCTGAAAGGGGGTTCCAAAGAGGATGGATCTAGACTGTTCTCAGTGGTAGCAGATGACAGAACGAGGAGTAATGGTCTCAAGTTGCAGTGGGGGAGGTTTAGGTTGGATATTAGGAAAAACTTTTTCACTAGGAGGGTGGTGAAACACTGGAATGGGTTACCTAGGGAGGTGGTGGAATCTCCTTCCCTAGAAGTTTTTAAGGTCAGGCTTGACAAAGCCCTGGCTGGGATGATTTAATTGGGGATCGGTCCTGCTTTGAGCAGGGGGTTGGACTAGATGACCTCCTGAGGTCCCTTCCAACCCTGATATTCTATGATTCTATGATCACTGGGGGTTTGGCTGACCAGCAGAGGAACTCAATGTGCTAAAGGATGTTACAATGCTGTGGTTGACTTGGAGTTTGAGTTTATTGGTTGTTATATTATAACATTTGGAACATATGCAAATTTAACATTTAAAGTTTAGATAAATGGAAAAATACACTTTAAAAAATGGAATTTAGTCAGACTGTAGATTGTAATCTCATCCAGTAAAGCCAGTTGCTATTCCTATTGCATGTGCTTTCCAATTAAATAAGGGATTTCAGTATCAGCAATACCTTTTAACTTTAATCTCAGTGATCACACAGTACATATTTAATATAAAAATATGCTCATTACATGGGGGCATGAGCCAGTAAATTACCCAGTTAATCTAAATGGATGTACACTGGTTTAAGTCCACTTTCTGTAGGGTTTTGCACTGGTGTATCTAGACTGATTTGGAATAAATTTAGTTACACCAGTGAAACTTTTCTAAGGCCTAATAGCCCTGACCGAGAGAAAATCTGCTGCCATTTTAAATAAATCTGCCATCTGGAAAAAAGAAAAACTGCAGCGTCCCAAACAGCATACAGCACGCAGAGTTCGGCGTACTTTGCATTCAGAGAAAATAACCTCTGATGGAGCTTGAGTGAGAAGCCACTCACATAAACTCATCGCCACCAGCAAACATGGAGATTTATAGAGTTTCCTCTTCGGGCTTCTCTACACTTACAGTGCAGCAGCAACGCAGATGTGCCGTGGTAGCGCTTAGTGAAGACACGACCTATGACAATGGGAAAGCTTCTCCCATTGGCTTAGAGAGGTGGTAGCTATGTCAACGGGAGAAACTCTCCTGTCAACACAGCACTGTCTACACGAGGGGTTAGGTCGGTATAACTGTGTTGCTCGGGGTGTGGATTTTGACCCAAGTGTGTCAGACCAGCATTCCAGAGAGGGCCTACAGCAGCCTAAGACATGAACTGTTTAAACAGTCTTTCTCCTATTCAATAATCCCCAGCTCTTTTCATCCCTAGATCCCAAAGCACTTTACAAAGGAGGTTAGTATCATCCATGCTTTACAGATGGGGAAACCGAGGCACAGACAGGTGAACTGACTTACCCAAAGTCACTCCAATGGCTAATGACAAGAAGCCAGACCCCCTGAGTTCTTTTAGTCCAATGCTTTATCCACTAGGCCAGATTGTTCCCTCCTACTCTACCTGGCCTTCAGTTCTAGCAAAGTCCACATTTCAATCCCTCCTTTCAAAACGTTAAACAAATTAATCCCATGAGGTTTATCACCACCCTGGGCACTAAATAGCACAGCCTCCCCTTTCGCCTTCTCACCACGAGAGGCGTTAATATGCTGACATCTCCAGCCTGCTGCTTGTGCCAAGTCTGATAATGGGGGCTGTTTGCAGGGCTTTCCCCCCCAAAACCTAAGTGACAGCTGTACAGGTCTGATCCCGGTCTCTGGATAGCTGGTGACACAGAAGAATCCATTTAATTCCTTGGGTATCCACACATTTGTCGTCGCCAGTGATTTGTTTTACTTCTTTATTTTTGTTCCTGTCAGACTAAGGGAGAGAGCTACGATTAATGACTGTCTTTGCATCCAGATAGGCTGTGGGGGAGCAGCATCTATTTCTTGCTTTGCCTCTAGGCGTGGCATGGCAATGGAAGCTTTCAAAGATCTCAGGCCCTTCTGGATCACATGAGAAGTTTGGCAGGTAGATCTAAAAGACTGAAAACAAGGAGAAACTGGAACAACGAAACATCTACCCATGCCCTTTAAGCTGGGCTTGAGAGAGGATCATTGGGCAAGACTCCTGGAATCAAACTAAAAGTAGTTCCATCAGGGTCTTGAGAGGCTGTGGTAGTGATGGGCGCTCTCTTCTGGATGGCAGTATTCTGCTTTCCTTCTAGCCAGTATGTTACCATGTCTCCTTTCCCCTAAGGAGGAAAATAAGTCAAGATGTAATAATAATACCACCTTGCTCTTATATAGTGCTTTTCATTAGTAGATCTCAACATGCTTTATAAAGGAGGTCAGTATCATCACCTCATTCTACGGAAAGGGAAACTGAGGCACGGAGAGACAAAATGACTTGCCAAGATCCCCCAGCAGCCTATGGCAGAGCTAGAAATAGAACTCAGATCCCCTGAGTCCCAGACAAGTGCTCTAGCCACTCCTGCTGCGTCTATTAACGATGGAAAAAACACTTCATCTCTGATAAAGTTTCACTAATTTTAATTATGGGTCTGTCAACACTACAAATACAAATACAAATGAATCAGGCGATGCCATTATCACAATTTTTTCTCCTGACCCACTTACAAGACAACAACAATCTATAGTGTGGATTGGATCTAATTGTGTTTTTACCATATTCCATTACTGAGGTTTTTCAAAGCCTTAGCTAAAGTGCTAAGGTCAGGCCAGAGCTTTAATCTGGTTGTGAGACATGGTTACAACATAGTGAGGTCCTACCCACAGTACAAACTGTAATTGTGTTGTCATTGGGTCAGTGGGAAATTGTGCGGTAACTGGGTCCCCGGATTCAGTTGTACATGTGGTGTAGATAGGCATGCGACTGTTTCAGAGAGTGGCCATGGAAATAAATTGTTTTCACAAAGCAAAACTGTGTGACGCTTCGGCATTGACCTGCATGCTTCACATGGCAGGACAATGAGCCAGACAGATAGGGACCCAAAATGAAAAAATGGGTTCTAGATTTCACACCCTTCAAAGTCCAGGGCCAAGTTTTCTATCAGCCCCTTACAGAGCGAGAGATGCTGCCTGCAACATTCAGTGTGAGGTCTGGCTTCAGATTCTTCCCAAATGTTGTGATTATTCAAGGTCCATTTTCACCACAAAGAAAAAATCCCACCGAGAATGAAATTACTTCCCAAAATGTGGGCCATTAGGATTGACAGATTCCAAACACAAAGTTTGTGTTCATTTATTGTTTATCGCTATTTTAAAGTCTCGTGTTTGATTTTAAGCAGTCAAGCAGGGTGGCTTGCCAAGCCGTGAATCTGAGTGTGGATCCCATGTTTGGGCCCTCGTTCCCGGAGTTGGCTGGGCCTGGGAGCAGCTTATATCACCCTTGAGCAAACTCCTCCAAGTGATCCTCCCATGGAACTCCATCCAGGCCCCTTCAGCTGGAGGCACCGCTCAGACTCAGTAAAGCCCTTCTCTGAGAGAGGAGGGTATGAAGGGTTAAAACAACGGCGTTCAGGAAGACAGTTCACACTTTCCCCCTCTGAAAAGCTGAGCACAAATGCTGCCTATTTACCTTGACTTGCAAATTCCCACGACACACTAATATGTACTCTCCAATATGCTCCAACAGCTGGTATGTATTTGAACTGCATTGTATTTTAAGAGCTGGATGGGGGAGAAATTGCCATATTATTGTAACCATTTATCCACTGAAGACATAGCCAGCAATGAATAGCGACTAAACTTCCATCTGCCCCCCAGGCTGCGTCATTATTATTGAATTGACACCTACCTCTTTTCATTTCTTGGCTGTCACTACCATGTTATTTTAAATGCTCACAGATGAACCAAAAGGTCCTTGGTCTCTTTGTAGGCCATCTCAGGACACATATGTGACTGTCAACAAACACTTCACATCACATCCTGTATCCGATATTACTTTTCGGCTCTTTATAGCTGCCTGGCTGGAGTTGCTTGACAACTGACCCTTTTATCTCACATGGAAGAAATCCATATGGAGTTTTAGCCAGTGGCCACTGAACAGCCACTGCCTTCTCCGTGTACTCACTTTTGAACAAAGACTAAAGCTAAGAGAAATTTCCACCCACCCACTGCCTCCAAGCCTATAAATAAATAAAGAGAGAGGGAAGGTGCCATTTCCTGTAACTGTATAAATACTTCTACTGAATTATTCTGGCAACATGATCTTTTCTTTAACCAAGGAAGGATTTATACTCATGCAAAATGCTTATTGTCTCATCCATTGCAGGAGACTGGGAGCCAGGACTCATGGGCTCTATTCCCATTTCTGCTACTAATTCTCTGTGGGACAAGATACTTAATTTACTTTTTTGTAAAAATGGGGATGATTCGTGAGCTGGGGGGGGATTTTTCCACTGAATGATTTTTTGACAGAAAAAGCAGTTTCCTTAACATCAACATTTTCCACAGCATTTTGATTCAGAAATCTCAGAACATTTAATTTAGATTGAAAAATGCTGAAATAAAATGTTTCCATAATTTCCAGATGAAAAATTTTCTGAACTATTTGTCCCACAAAAAGTTTTGATATTTTGACATTTCATCCTGATTTGGGACAGAAACAAATGTTATGTCCACACAGGATGGAAACTCTGGATTTCACTGAAGTTAATACTTTTAACCTATCACTGTGAGGTCCTCCGGGTTAGTTACCTACAGTATGTAAAGCTATTTGAAATCCTCAGATGAATATTTCAAAAGAAGCATGGAAAGAGGAGAGAATTAAGGTTATAAGAGAAGCTTTTTCATAGCACACTGTGTTAGAAGTGTTGATAAGACATCCAGAAGGAGAGGTGAAAGATAGGCAGAGATACATGACTGAAGAGAAGATGAAATGTGAGGGATGGAGGAAAAGATTTGGGAATCATCAGCATAAAAGTTTTAGCTGAGGCTATGGTATCAAATGAGTTCACTTCAGGAGAGTGCAAAGGGAGAAGAGGAAGGGAGCAGACTGGGAGGTTGACAGAAGGCTAATGAGGTTGCACACATAACTGAGAGCATGAGTTGAGGACGATGGGGGTGAACAGATGTCACTGAGGGCATAATTTGTTCTGCAGAGTCTTCAGACTAGTGATGATGAGTGAGAAGGAAAGAACCCAGCCTGACTCTCAGACCCACAAGTTGAGTTTGCAATGCCAGCAGTTAGGATGGGGGAGGAAATACACTTTCAATTTGAAAATTGGTCAAATTTGATATGGAATCAGTAAGGCACAATGGACATATTAAACCCCATCATGACAATTTTGAGAGTCACTTTTCAGAGCGGAACAGCCCTTTAAAACATATTGAAAAATTGCCCTGTTTTAATACATTTGAAAAGCATTGTAGCCCCATCCAACAAACTATGTAACCTTCTTTCTCTTATGGATTAGAGGAACAAATATATGTCTAAAAAAAAAAGCCCAGTTTTGGCTCATTCAGCTTTTTCTGGCCCCTGGAGCTCAGATCAAATCAGATTTCAGATCCTGAGCTTTTAATTATCAGCTCGGCTAAAGATAAAGCTTGCTAACCAAACTCGGGACCCCGTCAGTCCCTGGAAGGAGCTGAAGAAGAACTCTTCCTGAAGATTTTCTCATGAAGATTTCTCCCTAATCATTCTGCTGGACGATAGGGTTTGCTTCCCCATGCAACACACTGCCCCCACCTCCACTGACTGGGGGTGCAGCTCCAATGGAGCCAGGCTGTCAAACTTTCTGCAGTCACTAGCAGTCTCCTAGACTCCACATTTAAAGGGAAGTTACACTGAGGAGGGTGGGCCATGGAACATATTATAGTTCTTCTATAGCTCCGCTGAGTGCAGGGAAGGAGGAACAATGAACATTCCCTGCTAATCCTGTGCTGCTCCGGGGCCTGATTGCAGCCTGCCCCATCTCCTAAGGAACTCTGGACCCTTGGAGACCCCTCTCTTGGGCCTGGAGGAAGAGGGGAGGCTGTCACAAGGCAGTGGAGCCCCCTTTTTCACAAGAGGGGAAAGCCATGCATGTACATTCCCCTCTTTGTGTGTGGATCTTGGCTGCACAATTGAGCCCTCAAGTCAAAAGCCTCTTGAGGTTGGGAGTTGCACCCACTTAAGCCAGGGTTGGACTCAGAACTCAGCCCTCCACAACTCATTAAAATGTGCTAAGCATTGCCCCAGCATTTGGCTGTTCTTTACCCTCACTGGTGGACTCCATCCTGGAAGCTGTGTTGACAGTGTCTCCAAACAAGCAGTACCGGGGCATTTTGGTTCCAACGACTCCAGCTACGACTGGCCCTATTGAAGAAAAGAAAGCCAACTATTCTGGGAGATGTTTTTAACTCACACTCAGAATGGCCCTTAGGCTTATGTAATCTCCGCGGTTGCACAGGGCCCAGCACCACACACAGCTCTGGTCCAGTATCCCCAGTTCCCAATTTGCGGTCCAGTCTGGTTGCATTGCACCATAACAAGGTATAAGTGCCAATACTGTCCTAACCATCCCCTGTATTTGACAAGTTGTGCTTCAGCTCCACTACTGACTTCCAGGTCTATGTAGGTGAATCACCAGAAGCCCAAGAGCCTCATAAGCAGGGGAGGGCTGGGATGGAGGGATCACAGGCAGGCAGGAGTTGCTATGGGTACATAGAAAGGTGTGGGGAGGAGGGCCTGGTCATAGGTGAGCAGAGAGCTAGATGGGTCTTTGATGGAGTGTCTGCCCTACACTGGCACGTAAGGGGTTAAAAGAGGCCGAGGGAGGCTGCGTGAGGAAGTGGCCAATAGGAGGGAGGCTGTGAGGAGCAGCCAATCCAGGCCCAGCAGGCCTATATAAGAAGGGCCAGGGAGCAGAGCAGAGCGCGTAACTATCTGGAGCTCAAGGAGGGAAGATTGTGTTCCTAGTTAGAGGAAGGAGTGCTAGTACCTGGATGGAGCAGTGCCTGAAGGCCCTGAGGGCAGAGCAGGTACTGGGGGCCAGGGGAAGAGGCCCAGGAAAGCATAGCAGTCATAAGGGGAGTTGAGGAGATGCAGCATGTGGTTGCCATTGACAGGGTCCCTGGGCTGGGACCCGGAGTAGTGGGTGGGCCTGAGTCCCCACTACTCGCCACTGGGGAAGTGGCTGGACTACTGACAGAGATACTTCCGCCCGGAAAGGGGAAACATGGATGGTGACGTGGCCAGAGAGCCGAGTCATGAAGAGGACTCTGCGGTACTTGGATTGAGGGGGATCTGCAAGCTGAGACAACAATGGGAGAGACATCATAAGGAGAGGGCATACTGGCTGGCGGAGCTAGTCCCTGTGAGGAGGTGGTAAGTGGACCCATGGCAGGGTCTCCACAGGATCTGTTCACACTAGGCCCCACAAAAAATACTTTAGGCTGGCCCTGCACACACTAAGCAGCTGGAAAAGCAAGAGCAGGAACCAAGCTCATATATTGCTGACAATAGCCAAGGAGCTTTCTATTCCTAGGCATCTCCATTGAATCTTAGTTTTGCGTCTGTGATGTCAGCCCATTCTGCTTTAAAATGAGAAGAGTTTGCTCTGCTGTTGAGATAACAAGGGCTAATGGTCTTGTTGGGGCCGCATGCCTCAGTGCTGAGCATCACAACATGTGTGCTGGTCTAATCCAGACTCCGTATTGCCAACCAGGCATGTGGATGAGTGGGAAAATCAGATGGTGACCCAGATCAGGGAGCAGAGAAAGCGTAAGTGTGGGGGCTGAGTCAAGGATGTGAGAAAATGCTCTTTTGGGATCACGAACAACTAACTGGGACTAGCAATGGCAACAGAATTACCATCCCCAGCCTGTATTAGCATCAGCTTTCTCTCTCCTTCTGTGAGGCACAAGTGTGGATCTGCTCCACCCAGTCTGGTTGGTGGGGCACTCTTTGCAAAAGCATCCATGTCAGAGGGATGGTGAGGGCCCTTTAAAACTCAGCAGTTGCCACTCAGCAGTAACTGCCTTGTCACAGGATCTTGGATTCTAAGGATAAGGTGATACTGCAGCTACCTGGGGCTATGAACGTTAAATGGGATGCTCAGCCCATGGCTGAAAATTCAGCTCACTCTTTACATAGACAAGATGCTATTACAAACATTTGCCAGATGGCAGCCTACCCACATACCTGAGTGGATTCCTGCTCGTATCTTTAGCTGGGTGTTGGGTTTGTGCGGAATCCTAAATGTCTTGCACACGGCCACCAGGTCTAGAGCCATACTTGCTATTTCACTAGCATGACGAATACCATTCTCTTTGGGTACCCCCGACACTACCATGTCTCAAAACAAAAATACAGCCTCATCAGCCTTCAACACGAGTCATTTTAAGCAGGCATTTGCTAGAAGGATGCTGGCCTTAGCTAAAAAATGCTATTTCCCTTTCACACACTGGGCTAGTTCTACTGGGCTAGTTCTGAGTTTAGCGCAAAGACCTCCAGAAACAAATTCAGGACAGGAAACACAGTACAATATTTTGAGTGGTTAATTTCTAGAGCTGTGCAAAACTTTGCACTTCCCTCTTACCCTTCCCCACATTCAAGGACTCTGGAGAAGGGGCACAGGGCCTCATGAAGGGTATCAGCTCTTCTAGCTTAAGGTGGGTGTCACCAGGAAATGGCAAGGAACCACAAATCCCTCAGGAGTCTTCCCCCATTCCTTCTGAAACTGACTCCTACACTGAGCAGCAAGGGCAGAGATAGTCTATAGACTAGCTCTCTGGCTAGGGAATCCATTTGAGTACTCTAGAAACCAAATGATAGCTAAGATGCTTGGGATCCCTAATGTGTGCAACAGCTGCTGCAGCAAGAGGCGTTTCATCACTACCATTAACATTGAGGGGTTCAGAATCCATTGCCCCCAAAATCCTGGAGGATTTGGTGCAAGAGTAGTTTTAGTGGCAGCCACCCCTTGCAAACCTACAAAATGGGGGAAAGAACCCAGAGAGAGAGCCTCCAGCCCCATACAGAGTCGGAAGGAGGATAAGGCTACCACTCCCTGCTTGAGAAGACAGCAATGATAACATTTAGGAGAGGGAGTCTTGGGCAGAAGGTGTGGGGATGGGATGGGATGGGTTGCTGGCATTGGTTCATCTGAGAGTCACACATTTCTGTAAAGCGCAAGCCATCAAGTGAACCAGCCACAATTGGTCTGTTGCCAACATCTAAGACTGGACCCTGCAGGGCACAGAAATCAAACACAGAAGGATTTGTTCATCTCCACCCACTTCTCTCCTTTCATTGAGTTTAATGGAATACTATGAACATGTAGGGGGGGAAATGAACCGTCTTCATTAGGGCAGTGTTAGGACTCTCCCCTCTCAGAATGTAATTATTCTGGTCCTTAATGCGGTAATGAGCTATTCAGATCCCCTGGACTGGTTATTCTTATGCTTTGAGTCCTTCTTCTCCTAAGCCTCTTATGAAATCCCCACTTGCCCACAGCACAGGGAACTTACAGGCATCTCCTATCGTCTCCACCTTGTAGACATCATAGTTGTCTATGATTTCATCAAAGGTAGTGTAGAGTTTGTTTAAGAAGTCCACTACTTGGTAAGGTGTGCTGGTGCTGGATAGCTGAGTGAAGCCAACAATGTCACTGGTAAGGCACAACAAGAGAACAAACACTGTCCAGTCAGGTGTTTGGCTAAACACCATCCAGTCAGGTGTTCTGGTTAAACATGAACACAATGACACATCTTCCCATGCAGTACTATTTTCTCAGCTGGAGGTATTGACCCCACCACAACCACAACCCATCCCTGAATTTGTTTGTTTTGAAGTCTCTCTTTCTGGCTGGGGATCTTCCTCTTTAAAACATTTGCTTAGGCTGAGAAGAGATCCCTTTAGTACCAAAGACCGGATAAAACTAAGTCAGCTTCACTTTCCAACGGAGCAGACAATTTTTCATCTACAACCAGACTTTGTGGATAAAAGGTCCTTGGTTTTAGACTATGCACACAAGAAAAAGTGGATGTAATATCCTACCTCTGTCATGGATTGAGCAGCTGGCTCTTTAAATTGTTGGACAGCGACTCACCTCTGTACCTTTTACCATGCTGTTCAATGGCGAAAGCCAAATAAAGTCTGTAAAAACATGTTTGATGTATGTATTGTTTTTCCACCTTAGGGACCAATCCTGATGTCTTTACTTGGGCACTAAATATTTCTTTTAACTGCTAGAGGTGATGTATTACCGAGTGTTAGACTTCCAGCCATGTGATAGTCTCACTTTCCACTTCATTCATTTTAACATAAAAAAGGGCAATTTTGTGACCTTTCATAGAGATTCACAAATTTGCCCTGAGGAAAATTTTGCCATTTTTCCACCAGTGATCACAGCTTTGACAGAAATTATGTGCCTGGAACAAAGGTTTTATCCACTGCATTTTAACAGCACTCCTTTCCACAGGTGGAAATTCGCAAACGTCCATTATGGTCTCACTCAAATAAAAAGTTTAATGTTTGTGTTTCATGGACATTATTTTCCTCCTCTCTAAAAGTGACTTGACCACAATTGTTTTGTGCAGGTAAGTTATAGTCCTAAATCCACCCATTCCCACTTACCTGAAAAAGATGGTGGCAATTACGTAACTTTGGGCTTGTGAAGGTTTTCCTTGCCTCAGATCATCTGCTACTTGCTTGGGTAACATACCTATTTTAGAGCACAAAGCGAGATTGTCAACTATTATTGTAGGGTGAGAAATGCATGAAAAGGATAAAATTAGCTTAATCTGATTTTCCCCACTCAGATATAGAAAGCAAAAGAAATGTTTATGAATGTAAAATGCTTTGACATTGGAAAAAACGTAGGGATAAAATCTGCCCTCACTTACAGCCTGGTAAATCCAGAGTAACTCTGTGGAAATCAATGAAGTTATAGCAGTTTGACACCAGTGTAACTTATGTCAGAACTTGCCCATATGTGCTGCTTGTTATGAATTCTAATTATTATTACAACTAGTGTTACTATTAGAGATAGGCTTGAATTGGAATCACACATCCTATCTGAATCCTAGTGTAGCTGGCCCATGGATCGATACAGGGCTAGAAGAAAGCTTGGGAGCTAAACATTCCAAAGTCAGGGGAAGTCTAGATGTAACCAGGCCCATCTCTGATTCTGTCTGTCTTTACCTCTCTTTTGTTTTCCTCTGTCTTTTCTTTCCTGCCTTCTGTCTCCTCTCCTCCTCTGTGTTTCATCTCTGGTCTTTTCTCTCTCCCTCATTTCTCTCTCCTTTTCCCTTTCTCTCCTTCCTGATTTCTCTCCCTTGTTGTCTCTGTCTTTCCTCTCATTCTATAGTGCACAATCTACAAAAGAACCCAACTCCTCTATGAGCTCCCCAGGATCCTCCAGCATGCCTAGAACTGCACAAGATGACATTCTCAGCAACAGAAGAGGGTCTCAAAACGTTGAGGAAGCTGGAATATTAACTAGTCAATGTAAAAGTATTTATTTTCTTGGGGGGGGGAGGGGGACTATGAAGAAATGATAAATATCTATTGAATCTTGCATGGAGGAACTATATTAAAGGATGACCTATAAAAAGGTAGTTTCTTCCATCGCTTGCCCCTAGGAAAGCTAAATTGCAATTACTACTGCTCAGAATATCCTATATTTTCTGTAATATGATTGACTTACTATATAATAAACGATCAGTCTTCTGCTTTTCATGCATTAAGTCCTGGGTTCGTTCTGCAACTACTACTTCCAGGTGTTTGCTGTATTTCTCCATCTAAGCGGGACAAACAGATTCCATAATATAATCCATTCACTAAGGTGTTCATGTTTATAAACAGCAGGGAGTTCAGCATTTTGCTGGTTCTGGTTTGGTAACATTTAGATGGGCACAGGTGAAAAGTTGGTCTAGATTATTTTTTTCTAGACCAAATTCTGTCCTTAGGTACATTCATGGCTCCCACAGGAAATCAGTAAGATCTCATGCTTCTGAAGGCAGAATTTGCCCCATTGCTTTCGAATTCTACATAATCATTGGGAGCCAAGTCCTGGATATCAGTGCACAGTACCAGTTGTGGAGATGTGCATTGAGACCCTTTCCAGGGACCACATAAGAATCCAAGTCTCAAGCCTCCACCAACAGATCAGAGAGCTGCATTAGGCCATGCTGTGGCTTGTGCACCCCTACTCTGAGTGGCAATAGATGATGGAACCACAAGCCCCATTCCCACCACCAAAGCCTTGCACAATAGCACTCAAGATGCCTCTGGAGAGCTGTGCTCTTGATATATAGTAAACTCGGCTTCAACTGCAGCTGCACCTGGGAAGCCGTGCACCCGAGGAGGGAGGACAGGATTTCCACCACCTGCATTTTTAAGAAACAATTGTTATCACATTATTTTTTTTAATTCAGCCCTAAACAAAATTGAGAACTGAACTGAAGGAAAGGGGCTAGATTGGAACCTGGGACTCAAAGTTAACTGTAGCTTCCACAAAAACAACAAGGAGTCTGGCTAATTCTACTAGAGGTCAATGAGTGTTTGTTATTCGTCTTGGCAAACAATGGGCATGACATCAAAGGACAAGACCATTCCAAGTGATTAGAAGGGAGAGCTGACAGCAGGTGGGTATGTTAAGTCCTGCCTGGCTTGTTTTCTGGTTTGATTAAGAATCTATTAAGCTTACCAGAGTCATCATCATGTCGACTGGACTAACTTTGTTCGGATTCATCTTGTACAATAACTTCTTGACTTGCTCAAATGTAGGCCTTTGGGTTGGGTTGGTTTTCCTGCACCTCCTGATTAGCTGAAACAGGGAAAGGGAGAAAGAAAGCAAATGGCCCTTAATAGTTGAAGGTACAGATAGGTTTTCCTTCGAGTTGTATATCTTGAACCATTTGTGAACTTGGGGCCAGATTATCAACTGGTGTAAAATGACATAGCTACGTTGAAGTCTCTGTAGCTACACTGATTTACACTGACTGATAATCTGGCCCATGTAATTCAATGGCATTAGTAAATGAATGTGCTACTGGGAGAAACACTGGAATGTTCAAAAGCGATGCTTGGTTTCCTCTATCAAATACTTTTGAAACTTTGGGCCCAATTCTTATTTACACTAGGCCACTTTACGCTGCTGGAGTGGTGGAAATTGGCTTTAGGGCTTATCTATTCACAGAAGTTGTACTGGTTTAACTTAACTTGGTTTAAAAACTGATTTTGTTAAATCAATGTAAAACTCAGTGTAGACAATCTTATTTCCGTTTAAGGGTAACTTGGTTTTATTTAAGTTGGGAAGCTAAGCTATGACACTCTTAAAGTGAACTAAGAGTGCCTGCACAAAAACTTGAACCAGTTTAACTAAATTGGTTTAAAGACACATTTTTTAGTAAACCGGCGCAATTGTGCGTGCAGACCAGCACTTAGTGTCAACGAGACTCAGACCTTTAATCTCATTTAAAAAACAGACATTGCCCCAGACACATACTAGAATTTACTAACTGACTTTCAAATGCTAACAATAAAGCTTCACTGATATTAAATATGTAGATGGACTTGACACTTGATAACAAAATTAAAAGCCATACAATTCCAGTGACTGAATATTGAAAGATTACTGCCCTGAAACTTTTGGGGGACAAACTGAAATTTTCCATTTGGCAGAATAATGGCTCCTTCATAGGGCTGGTCACACTGAAAGCTTACATCAGCATAGCTCCATTTCTCAAGGGTGTGAAAAATACACACCTTTGAGAGATGTAACTATGCCGACCTAACCTCTGGTGTAGACAGGGCTAGGTTGATGAAAGAATTATTCCACTGAGCTAGCTACCACCTATTGGGGAGCTGGATTAACTACAGTGATGGGAAAACTCCTCCCGTTACGGGCGTGAGTGTGTACACTGAAGTACTGCAGCTGTGCCATGATAGCGTTGTAAGTGTAGACATACCTGTAGTGGCTATTAAAGCTAAAGAGCATTTTATGGTGCCATGCTTAAAAAGTACACTCTTAACTCTGCATTTCCTGGGCTTCTAAGTTAAAAATAATGTTTACATTCCTCAAAGGAATATTGCACTGAAACCACTGTCATGTGCCTGCAATCTGAAGTTCACCTCAATGAAGATTTTTGTGGGAGAGACTATATAACCTTATTTACCTCCACATAGTCTGTAGGGCATGGACAGGAATTCTCAGACTTTCCTGAAATTAATTCTGTCAGAGGCAGGCACGATGAATATTCCGCTGAATGAGAATCATCCTTGAGAAAACAATGTTGGGAGAACAGGAATGGGGACAGCAGTGAAAAGAAATCCATAATAACGATGTAAAGCACTGAATACACCAATCAAGGAAAGAGAGAATAGCTGGTAGTTTTCTCATCCATCATGTTGAAAATACACCCCTATTGTCATGTTTGGGACATATTCTTGCCTATCACTTCCTGTACAGACGCCTTCCTTTTATCTCTCCATTGGAAATGTTCCAGATTAGGGCTTTTATGTCTGAGTACAGAAGAGGCCTACATATCTCACTGTGCCACAGACAGCTGTCTCCAAGCTCTCACTCAGCTGACAAGATCTGAGCTCAGCCTATATCGAAGGGGAGCAGCTCTTGAAATTATTGAAAACATCAGACACAGCAAGAGCCCCCTGTGAAGCTGAAGGACCACATTGGGCCACTGGCATGAACAGTTAACAGTAGAAGAACCATAATCATAAGTGCAGGTCACTAGAGTTATTTTTAAGCCAAATTGTTTTATGGAGCCAGAGTTGTTACATGGGTTTTTTTCAGGTCACCTTATGTTGATTTTGATGCACATAGAATCATAGACCTCAGGAGGTCATCTAGTCCAACCCCCTGCTCAAAGCAGGGCCCATACCCACCCCCAACTCGTCATCCCAATTCCCCCTCCCCCATTTCCCCCAGATCTCTAAATGGCCCCTTCAACGATTGAACTCACAACTCTAGGTTTAGCAGGTCAATGCTCAAACCACTGAGCTGTCCCTCCCCATCATTTATGCAAACAGTTTTGCATAGATCATTTACCCTGAATCCATGTATAGACAACACCTTCCCCATAGATGGAGGTTCAACAGCGACCCCATCACTGTCCCCCCAGCTTTGGATCCTATCAAGGTGCTTTGTGGGTCTGGGGCTGTATTGTGGGAGGACTGGAAACTGAGCAGGCCACAGGACGGGTGGGCAGGCCAATGGTAAGGCTAGGAGTGACATACCTCATCCCCACTCCAGCCCCACAGAGCGTACCCAGAAAAAAAGAATAGAACAGAAGCTGTATTGTCTTTTCCACTGCATTTCTCTCGGGGATCCCAGGGGTTGGTGGGGCCAGGAGGAATCTTACATTGGTAGCGTGGCTCTACTGGAACTGGATTTAAACCAATGTAATCAAAATAAAGATCCAGCCCTGACTAAGCACTGAAGATTTTGATCCATGATGGGAATATATACCCTTGTGAACACAGTACTGTGAGCCCAATCCGGCTCCCACTGAAGTCAACTGGAGTTTTGAGAATAACTTCAATGGCAGCAGAATCAAAATTATGAGGAACTTCACAAATAGCTCTTCAACTCTTACCTGCACAGGGTCACTTCTTGTTGCGATCTCTAATAAAATGATGGAATAACTGCAATATTACAGACAAATAATTGGAGTGAATATATTGCAAACGGAGCCTTTTGAAGAACAGGATGACATTTTTGCACATCTCCCTCACTCCCTGCTTTTTTCTTCTTTTTTTCCCCCCAGTCACTAATCCATCCTTATTGGGACACATTCTCAGGAAAATCAATGGACCTTTTGGATGCCTAAGGACTGCAGGATTGGGCCCAGGGTGTTTTGGCCAGCAATACACACGGTCACATGCTGGGGTGGCTAAGCACCTTCTCATAGTGCCAAACACCAGGTCTATTACAGCATAGATGCCAAGCACTAGTGAACCCGGGCTAGATGGACAGCGCTCGCAGTCTCTTTTGGAGGAACTCTCCTGCTGGATTGCTTGGGAACTCTGGTGCTACGTTCCTCTATCTGATTTCACCGGTTGCCATGTATTTGCCAAGGAAGGGTTGTCTGCCCTGTAGCACAGACAGACTTTGCAGGCACTTCGGGTTGGCAGGTTGAGCTGTAACAGGGATCTCAGTAACCTTTTAAGTTCAGTGCAGTGTTCAGTTGCCGAAGGCATGAACAATGTACCCCCCGGCACTCCGTTTTAAGGAAAGGTCTTGGCAAGATGTGGCTCCAAGAGGCAAGCTCAGTCACAAATTTACAGCTACGTAGCCTAAACCTGTGCACTTTGCCCGCTGCAAGCTGAAAGCATATCAAACTAAGGCAGCATTACTGGGAAACGTGATGCTGTTTGGATGGGAGGCAGTGACGAAACAAAAGGCATGAGACACGGCTGCGAAACAGCGGCTTGCGTGGAGCACCATAACTCAAGGAGCACTGGCGCTCAAGCACTCAATCGCTCTGTAGTCATGCCCAGCACAGAAATAGAACAGCACAGCTGGGTTCAATCTTCAGACAGCTAAGCCATTTGGGGCCAGATTTGTAAAGGTATTTAGGCACTTAAAAATGCAGAGAGGCAGCAGGTGGGATTTTCAAAAACACCTAACTCCCACTGAAGTTAAAAATCTGGCTTGAAATGGCTAATGGTCATTAGCAGCGTCCTGGCAGGTCTCAGCGTAATACATGTATGATTCTGCAGAAGACAGTAATACACATGAATCCAAGACATAAACTAACAAACCCCTCTGCAGAATATTTCCTTTTTGGTGGGTGTTTAGTGATAACAGGGGGAAGAATTTATTGAAATCATTTGATGTTAGCGTGCTTCCCCACACTGGCCCTGCAAAAGATAAGTTAGGCCAGGTGGACCAAATCAGCTAATTAGGCTGCAGACAGGGGATCTTGAGTTGGAGGCAGCTAATTAGAGAGGCGCTCATCTGTGAGGGACAGGTGGGGCTTCTACAAAAGACAGGAAATTGAGAGCAGAGGAGACAGAAGGGTGAAGTCTATAGTTACTCCCTGGGAGAAATGGTTGGGGGGCTTCAGAGACAAGTTGCCTACAATTACTTGCTGGGAGGAGGGAGTGAAGAGACTGGCAAATCTCAAAGAGTGGGGAAGGCCCTAGCAAACCCTTAGCAGGTGTGGGATTGGCTCAGGGAAAGGCAGCAAGGGAACAGACCTCGGCTGCTGTGTAGAGGGTGTCTGAGTTGGAACCTGGAGTAGAGGGTGGGCCCAGGTTCTCCTGCTCGCTGCTGTGGGAGTGGCACTGTGCGGCAGTGAAGCAGAGGACTGGTCTGGGGAGCAAGCACCTTAATGCATGTCCCCCCCACACACACAGCCCCCTGGAATGGGAAACCACAATAGCGACCTGGCTGGAGGGCTGAGTCACGAAAAGGATGCTATTGTTCCTGTAGTGAGAGAGGGGCTGCATAGGAGAAACTGACTGGGTGTAAGTGCTGGAAGGGGTGTTGGCCTGACTGAACTAATCCCCAAAATCGCCAAGAGGCAGCGTCATCCAGCAGTGAGTAGCACAACCCTGTCGCCGTTAACAATGAATTCATAAAAATGTCCCCAAACAGCCATCAGAAGGTATTGCAAGGTATTTACATGCCAGATATGCTAAACATTCGTATGCCCCTTCATGCTTCAGCCACCATTCCAGAGGACATGCTTCCATGCTGATGACGCTTGTTAAAAAAATGTGTTAATTAAATTTGTGACTGAACTCCTTGGGGCAGAATTGTATGTCCCCTGCTCTGTTTTACCCGCATTCTGCCATGTATTTCGTGTTATAGCAGACTCAGATGGAAACCCAGCACATGTTGTTCATTTTAAGAACACTTTCACTGCAGCTTTCACAAAACGCAAAGAGTGAGATTTCTAAAGATAACTACAGCACTCGACCCAAGGTTTAAGAATCTGAAGTGCCTTCCAAAATCTGAGAGGGACGAGGTGTGGAGCATGCTTTCAGATATCTTAAAAGAGCAACATTCTGATGTGGAAACTACAGAAGTCAAACCACCAAAGAAGAAAATCAACCTCCTGTTGGTGGCATCTGACTCAGATAATGAACACGCGTCAGTCTGCACTGCTTTGGATCATTATCAGCATGGACGCATGTCCCCTGGAATGGTGGTTGAGGCATGAATGGACATATGAATCTTTAGTGCATCTGGTGCATAAATATCTTGTGATGCTGGCTACAACAGTGCCATGTGAACACCTGTTCTCATTTTCAGGTGACATTGTAAACAAGAAGAGGGCAGCATTATCTCCTGCAAATGTAAACAGACTTGTTTGTCTGAGCAATTGGCTGAACAAGAAGTAGGACTGAGTGGACTTGTAGGCTCTAAAATTGTACATTGTTTTGTTTTTTGAATGCAGTTATGAAACAAAAAATCTACATTTGTAAATTGTATTTTCATGATAAAGGGATTGCACTACAGTACTTGTATGAGGTGAATTGAAAAAATACTATTTTGGGGGGTTTTGCAGTGCAAATACTTGTAATCAAAAATAAATATAAAGTGAGCACTGTACACTTCAGCACTGTAATTGAAATCAATATATTTGAAAATGTAGAAAATATAAAAACATTTAAACGGTATTCTATTTAACAGTGCGATTAATCGCACTATAAATGTTTTTAATCGTGCAATATTGTGGATAGCTTTCTTCCACTGAGGGAGTGCATTTGGCTGTTTTGTCTCTTAAAAATGCCTTGTTGCTCAAATGCTCTGGCTGGGTCAGAAGAGATGGAAATACAAAAGCAGACCTCTGCACACCACAGCCTTTATTCCTTCACTACCCCTAATTATTTATTATTCCAGTAGCCCCTAGAAGGCCCAACCAAGATCAGGGCCCCATTGTGCTAAGCACTGTACAAAGACTAGGTAAGAGACCATCTCTGCCACAGAGCTCTCACAGTCCAAAAAGACTAAATAGTACTGTCATTTACTCATGGGATACAGAGGGAATAAATGACTTGCCCAAGGCTACACAGGAATTCTGTGATAGAACAAGGGAGTAAACCTAGGTTTCCAGATTCCTAATCCAGTGCCTGAACCACAGAACCGTTCTTCTCCTTGCAACCCTCCTAGTAAACCCCTGTACATGTTTGAATAGGAGGAGGGGTAGACTAGAACCTGGCATGATAGCATCCTCTGGGCAGATGAGCAATTGTGAAGTATTGCCCTCTGGGTTCTCTCAGAAAGAAAGGCACAGAGTTTACTCAAGAGCATTCTTTTCCTCGAAGTAGCTGTTTTTTCTCTCCATATAAAATATAGCCATCCAGTGTATTCAGCAAAACCACTCTGTTCTCATTGCATATGGAAATATACTATGGATGAGTTTTGCTGACCCATTGGAAAACTGCTCCATTTTAAGTCTTAGAATATTGCCATTAGCTAAGTAGTAATTTTTTTTCAACAGGGAAAACACAAGGGAGGAAGTGATTTAAAAAAAAAAAAAACACCATAGACCCAGGGCTAGTTTTTTATATCCATTTACCTGGATTCAAATCCAGAATAGCTCCATAAAAACAAATGGAGTTACTCTGGATTTACACCAGCATTACGGAGCTGAGATTTTGGCTCCCAATCTTGGAAGGGTAGATCCTGGCATCTAAATTATTCTCTAAATAAGAATCAATTTTTAATCACAATCCACCAAATTCACCCTGCTATAGCTTTGGAATTTAGCTAAACTATTTATTTGGTCACCTGAGAGAGAAAGAGACTGGAAGTTTATCGTCACCTGTACACATCTGCCATGGAAGTGGGGACATAGTCTGACAATGAATGGGCCTCAGGAGCCAAGTAGATCTGCATCAAACGCTGCTGATATGTGCTAGCACCCTCACAAGAATCCTCTTTTCGGTAGGACTGTAATCCATAGTCTTGATGGAAGAAAGAAGGAAACAGGTACTCAGTAAGGGTTATGTTCACTCCTGAAACTCTTCCATTATTAAGTAGCAATATTAATGGTTTAAAGGCGTTTGCTCTGTATGGGGAGATGAGACTTGGTTTAAAAAATAGCACTATGTTGCTCTGATTTGTACCCAAGTATAGTTGTGTATACTGGAATGGTAGCTTGAATATTGGGAGAGAGTGTCTGGTGAAGTATGACTGCTTCTTGGTACCCCTGTGGTGGTGGTTCTGGCCCAGCGTATCCAGCCACAGTAGGCTCATGGCAGTGCAAGACAGAGCCAGCATACTTGCTTCTTTTCTGCACCTCCCTGCTGCTAGTGTGGGGGTGTGCCCAAAGAAAGGGGGGTGTGGTTGGGACACCCCGCAGCTGTGATGATCTCCAGCTGTGGTTTCAGTGTCTTGGAGTACATAGATGCCAGGGTAAGTCAGAGCAGCTCTCAGGCTCCTCCAATTTACACTGGGGCCTGGACCTACACACAGAGGCCACAATATTGTGGGAGTGTAAAGGGGAAGTTTCCACCAGCTTTGTACCCCCCCCTTCCAACGTGCTTTGTATGAAGCTCGTCTGGACTCCCAGATCTGAGCCAGTGTCCAGGTGCTGAGCTGTGTTCAGAGAACAGCATGATAAAAATTCTCTGACTTCTATTTCCTAGATCCAGACAGCACTGAAATTTGGTGTGTGGAGGCAGGGGTTCAGGTGTGGGGTTTTGGTTCAGACCAGTCTCTAATTGGGACACTCCAAGGATCTCATTCTTTAGACTGGAAGCCCATCTTTTCACCTAGCTGTGAAAGGGCACTGTGTTTATTGTCTGAAAGGAGGATTTGACTTATGTCAAAGAATGGCATCAGGCAAAGAATTCATAGGTAATGACATGGATACTGCTAGGTCTGATTGACGCCATCATTTGTGTCATATAATTGGTAAAAGGTAATGCATGTTAAATTGTAGGATAGACAGGATAATGTAATGGGATGTTTGCTCTGGCATAGTTTCCTTTTAATGAAGGCTGCTGCAGTTAGCATTTCCACCTGAAAACGTTGGCTCACAGTCCTGCTGGAGCAGTGAAGGCTGTGAAATCAACTTGCATTAGTAGTTGGCCATGTTTCAGATTTCCATCTCTCTTCATTACCTGAAATTTTACAGACCCAGCGGTCGTCAATCACACAGTTATTAGACTTTAAGCATCCATGATAGATTTTATGCTGGTGAAGATAACCCATTCCATGGGCAATGTCTCCAGCAAAGGAAAACCTGAAAGGCACACAATCATTATGAAGAGGTTAGTATTCCACTGAACCAGACACTCAGGAAGGGATTCATCCAAAGACTATTGAAATCAGTGGAAAGACTCCCACTGACTTAAATGGCCTTTGAATCAGTCCTCAGGGACTCAATCCTGCAAAGTGCTGAGGACTCCCGTGAGTTGCTGAATGCCCTCAGTTCCCATGCAGTTGAATGGGAGTGGAGGGTCCTGGGCCCCTTGTAGGAATGCACAGAGTCTTGTGGGAGTTCTCAGCGGTTTGCAGGATTGAGCCGTGTGTGCAGATATTTACGAGATGAGCAAAGTACTCAACTTTCTTAGTCTGTGTGGCGTGTCGACTTGGACCATTTTTTGTTGATGCCTAGAAGCAAGGCAAACATAAGGCAGAGAGAGAAGGGATAAGGGACAATTTGCAATTATACATGATGAAGTAGTTCATATGGGAGTTCCTTTGAAATCCTGAGCCAGTTTTGTGTACATCTGCTTTTATGGGTAACGCTAATGATGGACTTCTAGTTGTACTAATCTTTTCATGGTTGGCCTACCATGAATGTGGCCGTGCTGCTCTTTTACTCATCTTAAACCAGAACATCAAAGTGTACTAAGTACAGATGGCCAGTGTGGGGCCGGCGGGGGGGAAGGCGGCTGAAGAGGAGCCAAGGTTTAAAATGGTGTTGCAGCATACTAGAGATGGGATTAAAAGGTTTGGGTGTTACATGGGGAGTGCTAAATTCAGGGGTGTCAGGATGTCCATGGGACAGGCCAAATCAGAAACTTGGATCCTCTTAACCAATGGGTCTCTCTCTTTCTCCTTGTGTCTCAGAAGCATGGTATCCTCTGGTATACATCACAGCACTGTTGCGTCTACCAATGACTTTGTTTGAAGAGGGATGTTAATTGTAGATAAAGTGTCACCTGGTGATGCTACGTGTATCTTATTTCACAGGTCTGGTTTTTTTTGTTTTGTTTTTTACCTGAAGCCCCAGTTGAGAGGAATGTCTTCATTGAGCAGCACATCACTCAGGCTACCTTTCGGACAGTATTCTGTCACAATGGCAACGTTTGGCATCTCTGTACAACCTCCGATGAATTTGCAGAGGTTGGGATGATCGAGTTCTCTGAAAATGAACAGGAATCACATCCTTTCTAAGTCTTCCCTCTACACCTTTTGGAACTGGAAAGTTTAGGGCTTTTGCCACTGGGTTGAGAGGAAAAGCTAAATACGCAAAGAAACGTGTTCAGACAGGTTCAAAGAAATGTTTTCGACAGTGTTTGGGAGAGAAAAACATGGAAACAAGTAACGATGGGGCAGGTTCCATTACACTGGTGTAAATGTGGAATGGCACCCAATGTGCAGGTTTCGTTGTTTACCTGACTTGCTTTACTTCCTTGCGTATGGATTTGGACAAGGTGAATGTCATCTTCCTTATTTTCTTGATGGCGACTGTTCTACCATCACTGCAACAAGACAAAGACTTTTCTAAGTGCTGGAATCCCACATGGTGAGTATGCAGTATTCTCTATATAGGAGCTTTGGCTCTCTGGGAAAGGTGCACAGATGTGGATTTTGTCAAAATCTGGATGGGAACCTGGGTCTGAATCATGAAATTCAGACCCAGGTTCCCATCCAGATTTTGACAAAATCCTGGAACTGTGGGGATGCAGGGAATGAAAACCCAAAGATCACTACAAATTGTGCAGCTCAGGTCAATTTATCTCTGTGTGTATTAGGATGTTCCCCAATCAAAGAAGTGAAGTCTTCTGTTTTCTGCAGGGGAGCACCAGACTAGTATGGAGTAGATGAGAGTGGTGTGGGCATGGGAAATAACCAGTGGGGGCAGAGAAAGCTGCAAACCCCTAATAAAAGGGCAGGACAAAATAGATGATTCCTTGGATCCCTCCCTTTCCCTCCCTCCACCTGGAGCAACTTTGAATGCAGCCAGCTGGAGAGTAGCTCATGTGTACAGGGCTGCAGTTTTAAGGCAACAGCCTGCCAGTCCAAGGTCTCCTCTGTGCTTCCATGTGGCACTCAGCTAAGTTGTATAAGCATAACAGTGTAGCCACACAAAGCCATCGGTGGATTCTTGCCTCCGGCCAGAGCACGGCCTTCCAGTGAGTGAGAGTACAGGGGAAGGGGAGCCATTGTGGAAAGGGGATGACCCACCTTAGTAGGAGGAGCAAAAAACAAGAAGGAAAGTAAAAGGAAATAAGGAGAGAGAACAAAAGAAGAATGGGTGGGGCAAGAAAGGAGAAAGAGAAGCTCTGCTGGACAAAGGGGAGATGGCAGCAACTTTCCTGGGACATGAGGGGACTTTGTGGAGGGGGTTGAAGTGTCCATCAATCTGTTAGGAGCCATGGATACATCTATGTGTACAAGTAGGTCACTACCAGCTAGGGGTGTATTCCAAACCAGTGATCTAGAGAGGAAATGAGCCATTCCTAGTCTTGTGAGCTGGTTTAAGGGCATAGATTATAATGGGCTGTTGTACAGTACATAATTTTCTGTGCCAAAGAGCTTATTTGTGTTTTACATTCATATTAGAGATGGGCCTGATTCAAAACCTAGCTCCAAATAAGCTTGAATGCTGTGAATGTTCGGAAGCAGAGCCAAGTTTGCAGCTCAGTCCCATGAGCATTGAAATCTCAGCAGGAGAAGGAAAAGGGGCATCCAAATATAGAAAACATCTGAGAATCTTTCAGCCTGAGTGTGCTAGGAAGGCCAAGTTAGTCCCCTAGCATTCCTGGCCCTGGCCCAAGCAGAGGAAAACTAGCCTTCACATTATTTCTAGGTGATAATACAGCAAGAACTGAAAGTCTCCCTCTTGCACGGGTGTAACTACAATACACAACATAACACAAAGACTGACTGATAGATAAGCCTACTATATCCCTGTCTGGGTGAAGTGCTGTTTCCTGGACGAGTTGACAGCTGCTGTGCAAGAACTCAGGGCAGTGATACAGCTGGCATTGGAGTCACTGGGTGCATGGGCCACGCTAACGATGCTGCCCATTGCAGTCCGTAGCAAGCGATCTAGTAAAAAAAGCCATTGAGATGCACATTATAGGCGGGTGCCCATGTAGAAGACTCCTGAATCATATAAACATAGGAAGCTCTGCTGCCCATGGCACCAGAGCGCAGGCTCATTTATGCTTGCAGTAGGGATGCTTTACTTTAGGATTCAGCTGTTAAAATGGAACCTCGTGACTGTGGCTGACAGCCACAGCCAGTGGCCTCTCCCACTAACATCAGTAGCTGAAGTCAGTTTTGAAAGCAAAGGCAAACTGTCAGCCCTCAATGGAACAATTTCAAACACAGTGAGTGTCATTTTATGCAAGGGACAAAGCCAATAAGGGAAGAGACAATACAAAAAACTCCCAAACCTATGATGTTACAAATCTATTTAGGACTCTTTGAAGAATTTAAATTTATTATTGTGGGAAGTGATTCTGACATTAAAGGGAATTCAAAGCAAAGCAACAATCCAGCTGGTTGAAAAATCTAGAATATCAACATTTTTTATGTCTTTTTTTTGGGAGGGGGGAGGAAGGTGATGCCTTTTGTCCAGCTCAAAGCAACGAAACTACATAGGGGGCAGATTAGACTGACTCATGGAAAAATGTACACAGATTGGATCCTATGTTGATGAGAGCTGTAGAGATAGTTAGAGAGAGGGATTATAAGTAGATATGAATTCTGCCCTACAATACCTGAATCTAGAAATGGAAGAGACCTGTTAGGTTTCCAGTTAATTTGCATGCCAATGCAGGAATGTTCTCTAGTGTGTCTTTACTAGCATTCTGCCAAGTTTCATTTTAAATGTGCCCGTGCAATGGGTGATTATTCCACTGCCTGATAGATCTGTCACAAAATTTTTCCTGGTATTCAACCTAAATATTCCCTTCCTTGATTTCATTCTGTTACTGTAACAGCCTTCTTGCCGTGATGTTTACACTCCAAGTCTCTCTGTTAGACATATGGCCTCACTTAGACATCATTCTACCCTTCTCTCAATATATCTCTAACGCTTCAAATATTTCCAAAAAAAGTCAGTCTATCCTGCCACCTAGTTGCTTTTGTTTCTCTTCTCTGAACTCTGTCTAGTGCTAATCTTTCTAGTCAAGGGTTACACAGAAATTAACTCAGTATCCCAGCTGAGGTCACCTCAGAGCTATAGAGAGAGACACTTTTATGCAGAAGCATAATGCCATAGAACAGGGACATAACAACTCAGAACTGCATTGGCATTTTGTTGCTATATCCCATTGCAAACTTAGGCCATCTCACTTTAATCGGCTATCCATTATTAGCTCTAGATCTCTTTCAGCTTGATTTCCCTCCAGGCTTCTTTCTCCCACTGAATACCTGTTTCCATTTCTGCATTCTTCCAGGCTGATTCTAATTTTGTTGTTTTCTGCCCATGCTTCTAATCACTCTGTCCCTTTGCATTGTTTCTCTGCCTTCTGTGGAGTTCATAACTCCTCCCAGTTTAGTACCAGTTGTGAATTTCATTGACATGCTGTTTTACTATACTCATTTTAAAATATTAGTTCTCTGAACACTTACTGTCTGTCTCAATAAATTTTATTTTGTGTGTCTCTCCCCCCCGCAACTATCTTGGCTGCTTTTAGTAAATTAGACTCCTTATTAACCTGATATCTGTTCCTTAAGACCATGAAGGTATCTCATTACACTACTTAGAAATGAACACAGAGCTCCAAGTATCTGTACTAAATTAATGCAATAGAGTCTTATCCCATTTACTTGTACTGAACATGATATTATATATTTAAAGCAGATGGGACCTTTTCGGCAATACCTTATGGAGGCAGAACTACAATTATAAAGGCAGATCCTCAGCTAGTGTAAATCAATGTAGTTCCAATGACTTCAGTGGAACTACATTAATCTATACCAGCCAGTGATCTGGCCCATATATTTCTCTAGAATATGATAGCAATAAATGACACGGTAAATACAGCAAATGTACATACTGTATGATAAACTGTACAGTAATGCTCCGATGTTAAAATGTCCAGGTGGAAAACGAATATAATTACAGTTTTGCACATTAGATAAATTGAAGAAAATTCAAGTCATGATGAATTACTTCAGCTACGGATAACACACAATGGGACAAATTAAGCTCTTGGTTACATCTATGCAAATCCAACGTAGCTCCATTGAAGTCACTTAAAAAGAGCATGCTGGATCAAAAAGCAACTCGGGCCACCACCATCTCTTGTTCCCCTTTTCACATAAATCCCATCTGGAAATATGTAGTTTTGATCCGTTCCTTTGTCTTTTATTTGTAAATCACCATAAATTATAGGAAAAAAGCCCCCAAACCGTGTGTGTGGAGGGGAGGGTGGGGGGGGGAAACCCTGACCTTTACGCTATGTCTACACGACTACTTATGTTGGTATAATTTATGTCACTCGGGGGGTGAATAAGCCACCCTCCCACCCCCGAGTGACATACATTACACCGACCTAAGCAACAGTGTGGACAGCGCTGTGTCGGCAGGAGAGCTCTGTCTCCTGTCCGTGTAGAGCAGCTACACTAGAAGCGCTGTAGGAGTCAGTGCAGCTGCACCCTGTAAGCTCTCGAGTGTAGCCAAAGCCAAAGGGTTCAAGTTAAAATAACACCCTTAAAGGAAAACTCCAGTGATCAGCTCACAGATGCTGTGGTGACAGGCACCTATCAAAGATAGATCCTCCTCCTTCAGGTCAGACCCTTATGAAATATGGATATATTTCCACGTGTGCTTCATTTACACAACAGGATAAGAGCATCAAAATTACATCATTTACTAACCTTGTTTGATGCGGGAGAAGTCTATAATCCAGCTTTCATCCCAAAACATCTTTTGCTTCTGGTATTGAAACCACTGCAGAAAGCATAACAGGCCAAATTCATTCCTGGGGCAACTCTATTGGCTTCAGTGGAGTTGCACTAGGGATGAGGGTAGCCAATCAATGATTAGTTGTATGGATATTTTCAAATAGAAAATCTACAGGTGTCTGAACAAGAATCACCATTTTAGCCTCCATCCTCTCTCAACGTCTTACTGACTGACTCAGAAGTAACGGATCTGGATCAAACACCAAAATACAAACATCAGTAATTCTGAAGACTAAAGAACATGACATTTTGTAGTAGACAGTCTGCTAGTTTCAGTCCATGTTTGCATTTTTGTGCACTGCACTTAGAACCCAGCTCTTAACCAGCGATGTGGTGAACGTCACTTCACATCTTGGAAACATCCAATGTGTAAACAAATGTCATTCTCCCCTCCCTCCCACTCCCCCCCCCACCCCCAGATAAGCAGCAGTTACTGGTTATACAGTATGTGACAATCAACATCAGGCCCCAGAGCAGCAAATTAGATGGTACATTATTACACAAAGTACTGTATCTTGCATAACATTAGATGGGACACTGTCACTATTTTATAAATAAGATGTACGTCTAATAACTGATGTACCAAAAAGCTGTCAAGTACAATAAACCCATTTTATACAAGCACATGCTTGTCTGTAGATCAGGTTAGCTATGATAAAATAACAAGACAATTTAAACACAAATATTAGATGGTCAGCATTTTGCTATCCATCTAATATTACCTTCAACAGCACACATTGGATGGATGACAAGTAACAAAAACCCAATTAACACAAGAGTTCTTGTGACATCTTGGGAAGTGGTGGCAGAATTTTGGGAGAGCTCTGGGGCTGATTCCAAGCCCAGAAAATCAATGGGAGTCTTTCCACTGATTTCAATCAGCCTACGCTTTCAGGAAAAGGAGATGTATTTTCATGTGCAAGGACCATAATCAAACAAAGATGATAGGACTGATTCAATACCCACTGAATTAAATGGGATCCTTTCATTGACTTTAATGGGGCTGGATCAGACCATATGAGAGAGAGGATCATTGGAGGATTATGATCTTGCTGTATGCTGAAAACTGGATACAAGTGATCTTTCCAGCTCTGTTTGTAAAAACAAGTTTATACATGGACTAAGCAACAAGCAGCAGAGAATGCTAAGTAGCATCTACCTGTAGAAGCTAGGTAGATGCTACTTAGCATGCACTCCAGCATAAGAGGAAAAACAACATAATCCCTGCAAATCAAAGAATATCTGAGACAATAGGTAAATTAGGTTTATTCTGGAGACTCACAGCTAATACATGCATAAGTGAGAAGGGGGCTAGCTGTTTACCTAACTGGTATGATGACTTTAAAGTTATCCAAGGAAATCTGGTTGAAGGAGCTTGATTGAACTCCAGCCTGTCTTGCAAAGAAGTGGGAAATGGAAGGTGAAGTCGCCTGATGTGTATTATGTTGGAAGATCCTCAATAAAAATGTTTGAGTAACAAACCGACATTGAATCAACATGTGGGGTCAGATCCTCCTGGTGGACCTGAGCAATGCCTATTTGCACCACCAGGAGAACTGGCCCACTGTAATGGGCTTAGGAAACCTCAAGATGCTCATCTAGTTGCAATAGTTCAAGGGTCCAATGCTGTACTCCACATACCGACCCTCTCACTGTGATAAGAGTTTTGTCCAAGGAAGGCATGCAGGATCAAGTCTACTTTATGTTAATATATTTGATACTGCAAATGTAAAGAGGCTTAACAGCTGTGTAACTGATACTTTTCTATTATTTAATTAATTCATTACATTGGGGTGTTTTATCTTAGAAAGTAAAATATTCCACTGCCCACCAGAGACTCTGGACACATTTACAAGGAACAACAATTTCCTTCCATGAAAATGCCCTTCAGAAAAGTAGTCACAACTCTCCAGTTCCCATCCAGAGTCTCTCAATGCTCTTCCCAGCAATTTCTCTCTTGCCCCTAGAAAAAGCTGGCAAGAACAAAGAGGTCTTGCATTGTAACTGGAAAGGTAACAGATCTGGGCTGTGGCAATCTGAAGCAGGAAGCTAATTCCACAGTTTTATCTAATTATATGGCCTTCAGCATGGTAGTATCTAAGTGTCTCCCAGGGCTGTGACTTTAGATTTATTCTCACAAGAGCTCTGTGAAATAGGTACCTATTATCCCTATTTTACAAGTAGGGAACTGAGGCACACAGAGACTGTGACTTGCCCAAGTTCGCATAGGAAGTGTATGATAGGAGGAACTGAATCCCAACCCAGTGCCTTAACCATAAGATCATCCTTCTTCCTCTGAGCAAGAGCATTCTGTCTTCATTCCCTTGCAATTAACCAGGAGGTGTTAGATTGAGTGCTCCAGATATCTCAACCACAGCAGTGTGACATGAGGAGAGAAGTGATCCTTGCCATAACAAAGAGCCAATGCTCTTATGGGTTAAAACCAAGCAAGTTATTCATAATGTACACAATCAATACCATGACTATACATCTGAAAATATTTCCCTGGGAACAGCTTTCCATAATGTTCAGAAATTAATTTATGTACCTTCAGATACAAAGGAATCTATATGAATGCAAACAATAGAAGGGCCTATTCTGCAGAAATACAGTAAAAGAGTAAGTAAAAATAATACATCCTCTTTTCTTTATCCAGCACTCTCCATCCCAAAGGATCACAAAGCATTTTCCTTATATTGATCTATCCTTGTGAGCCATTCTCCAGCAATGTGGGCCTGCTCTAAACTATACCAGGACTGGTGTAGAATGGGCCCCAGAATCAAGATGCAAGTTTTCCTCCCATTTCTCTTCTTCCCCCTTGGATCTACCCAGGGGGTTCTGTGTCTAGCAGAGAACCTATTCTTATGCTTGTAAAAAGCTGTGTTGTAAACAATAAAATCATGAAGAAACCATGATGGAAATAAAAGAAGAGAAAGAAGATTTCATTTGACACTTACCACTATTGTCAGAATGAAGCCAGCACAGACTAAACATATTGGTAAGGCAATTGCTATCCTCGCATCAGCTGTCAGTGGGCATTCCCCACAGTCAGCTGGACATGTGGAACAGCCTTCACCATCTTCACAAACACCGTCTCCGCAGACTGGGCAAAAAGGGATGTAGAGAGCAAAATACTTGAAAATAGCTCTATCCACTCTTAGGACTCAATTCAGTAACAAATACATATGGCTCCTGAGCTGGGGATCCCCATGAGAGGCCACAAAATATCTGAAGGAACAGGTTTTGAGGAATTCTAGGATCTTTGTGCTGCAGTTGAAAGATGTGGATTTTAAATGTAATCTAGGGACCCAAAAAATACACTGACCTTAGACTAACCGTGGACATCAGTGCTTTTGCCATGTTGTTGCAGATGGGTTGCTTGGTTGTTACCTTTTGTCTGTTTATTTCTCGTTGCCTGTCTTGCCTGTTTAGACTGTATGTTCTTGAAGACAGGGACTGTCCCTTACTCTGTATACTCAGCCTAACCCTTGGGAGACCTAGGGGTCAGGAGAACAGAAAGCCATCTTTTCCCCCTTTCCTTTCAATCAGCAGGACTGGTATTCACTAGTGTGAATAACTTCAGGCAAAATGAACAAACCAACCCATGCTAGGAGGTGTTTCAAACAAATGCTCATGAAAATTAGAACCGATATCAGATGTAATGTAATCTATATGGAAGTGTCTCTGTTTGAGAAGCCAAACATCAGCAAATGCTCACAAAGTTGAAAAGTATCCCTGAAAGACATGATTTTTACAGATGAGATGTTCAAAGAGATGAGAGATAGGTAATAGCTGTCTGTTTTGTTTTGTAGGCAATAAGGCCAATGGCAAATGGTAACTTCATTAAAAAAATCACTGTTTTCTCATTTCATTTACTAAAACATGATCCCAGTGGGAATTTCTTTAGATACTTTAGAGTGAAAGTCAATGGCAAAACTTCCATTAATTCCAGTGGGGTCTGTATTTCACTCACGGATCTTCACTACTAGAATGCTGTACCTCAGCCACGTCTACACTACCCGCCGGATCGGCGGGTTGTGATCGATCTATTGGGGATCGATTTATCGCGTCTAGCGTGGACACAAAGTAAGTGATTCTAAGTCAATCTAAGATACGTCGACTTCAGCTACGCTATTCTCGTAGCTGAAGTTGCATATCTTAGATCGATCCCCCCCACAGTGTAGACCAGGCCTCAGATTCTCGAGCAAGAAAAAACTTAGTGCCACTGAGATGAGCGAAAGCACAGATCTCCTAACTACCAAAATGTTTTGGAAAAAAATTGGTAATAATTCTGCCTGCTTCAGGTCTATTCCATTGTAATCTGCATTCCAGTACCATGCCCATCACAGAGGTCTCTGAATGCCTAACAATGATATTAAAATGAACACAAGAGTACTACATTGGGCAGTGTTTTTGAGGTTTATATGAACAGTAGCACCAGGCTCAAGGATCACTTGTGTTTGCAAGTTAGCTGTCATGCCTCAGGCTAGCCTGCTTCATGTCTGATGATGAATGTCCATATACTATAAAGAAACCATGTGGTAGAACAGTTTTGCATCCCTATGACACCCCAATAAGCCTTGTAGTGCCTGAAGCTGCTGGTTCTGGCATTTGATTTCAGCTGTTTGACCAAGTGCAGCCTTTTACGGTTCTCATTTCCTACACAGGCAACGAGAAGCTGGAGAAACTTTAGAGATTTCAAATGGTTTGAAAAAGAATTGTAGAAACATTTGATGGGATATATTCACTTGTAAAGGGGCTATGAGTGCTTTTTCTAGCCTATCAATACAATTGGAAGGGCTGTGTAATTCCTGTTTAACATACGAGAAGTCTTTATTTCATACCATACCTACTGCAGGGAGCACAGTGGTTTTGGCTTCCAGAGCAACTTGCATTTTCCCAACCCTGATGTGTGCGATGAGAGAGGTCACACCCACATGAACCAAAACTACCTGCCAAACAAACAGCCATTGCTTTAAATTTCATACATTGGACTTTTTTTCAATACCAATAATCTAATCTCTTTTCCCCTAGATTTATTTTCACCTTCTTCCTATTCGCAGGCAATAGAGGTCTTATAATCTTCCCGTCAGCCCATGTGGTAACATGATCAATTGTCTCCAAACCTCATGAGATATTGTTACCAGAATGGATGCTAAATGGCCGCTCAAGACCTCTGTCTCTCAATGAGGGAATCTGTAACTCCACCCAACCCTACTGCAGCACATACAATTCTGTTGAATAGGTCAGCCTCTGGGAGAGGCAAAGTCTATGTTCTTCCAAGGCTTTTGGGGGGCAGATAGCCTCAGCTATTTCCATAAATGTTTTTGATACATGTTGGCAACCCTCACGGAGCTGTCATGAAGTGAGTGAAGTGAGACAAGCCGAAGTATAATCCAGTCCTCTGGAAACAAGATGCTAGGTGCACTCAGTTCCCAGTAACATCAGTTGGGAGCTGAAAGCACTCAGCACCTCGCAGTATCAGGCCTTTATCCTGCAGCCTTTATATGCACATAACGCTGAATGAAATAAGTGGGTGGATTTCCTATATAAGGACTGCAGGATCTGGCCTGCTAGTAAAAAGGTCTAGAGCATAGTATGCCGTAAATGTACTATACCTTGGCAGTCCAGTTTGCCTGACTCATTTTGCCAGCTGTAGATAAGGTGTGAGTAAATATCTGGCCATCATCCGGAATCCACGGACCACATATTCCACCTTTCCCCTTTACCAAACAGAGCAGTTATTTCAATAGATAATAAAACAAGGAAAATTCCAGGCCTTAATACTCTTAAATTTAGTACTCTTTGGGGGCCTTGTGCTTTATTCCAATAACTAGCAACGTATTATTCATTATGACAATGCTCAATCATAAATGACACTATTGTGTGCTAAAATAAAACACAAACAAATAGAAGGGAGCACCTGGACTGATAGTCCGGTTTAAAATTCCACAAAACTCTCACTCACTTAAAGTCCATGAGCCATATTCTGTCCTCATCTCATTTAGGCACCTAAATCTGGAGTAACTCTATTGAAGTTAATGGAGTTATTCTGTATTTATTTCACTGTAACTAAAAGTAGAATTTCGTCCACAATTTTTTATTCTCTACATGGTAGATTCACTGCAGCTCTGCTTTTGACAACTATGGGGTATGGTGTTTCTTTCATGAAAGTTCCTATTTCCAGAGCATTTCTCATTAAGATTGAATAGACTTTAATTTCCCAGCAGCTGCAGCACTGCGAATTATAATGGCTGTCTGAAGATCATGGGTTTTTAAATGGCATAATCCTGATTGCTAAATTTCAGATATGTATTCACGCATTTCTATTCACGCACTTTAAAATACAGTACACAAAAAAGAAATGGATTGCTCATGCTAGCTGAGGTAAAACCGACCTGAAAAGATGACACCATATTGAAAGCTCCTGCTTAATGGAAAGAGCTTTATTTGTAACTATCCATTCAGTAGCACGAACCCACTTTCCTGCAGCAATTTTGCTCTATGGGGGCTATTTTATAGAGGCTTGCCTTGTCTAAGCAGGAAAGCTCAAAAATATTTCCAACTTTAAAAGCGAGAGGCAGGGTGGTGCCTTTGCGCTAGAATCACTCACTGATCTCACCCTCCCCACAAGGATCTGGGGGTAGAACACCTCCACAACAGCGTACCCTCTCTCTTCCCACAGAGGGTGGTGTGCGGACACAGGAGTGATCCTGAGGGACGTGGCAGCCAGTGGGCAGACTGAGGGAGGACTGGGCATGCTGGCAGGATGCATATTGTGCTGTGCTGTGCCAGTGGAGATTCCAGCCAAAAGATTACACAGCCACAGGCTGGATGATATTTCTGTAGCCCCCTTCCTTCAAGGGGAAGTTCTGAGGTCAGCCGGGGAACCCCTAACAGAGTGGCTCCAATGGAGCTGTGCTGGCAAGGAGCAGGGCCGCAGCTGCTGTGAAGACACAAGATGCAGCTGGGTGAGATGAACGTGATTCATGGGCTAGACATGTGCTTTCCCCTGTGAAGCCTTCTCTCCTGCTGAAAGAATACATTAAAAATGTCATGAGTGGAATCTTGTAGAACTTCCTGTCCTTTCAGGTCCTATGGGTACTATCTGGCCCTCCGTAAATACAAACAGACTAAACTGTTCTAACACGTCATTCCGGTGCCACCATTTTAAATATGTTAAGTACACAAAGTGAAGAGGAACAGACTGTCCCCCTCTGCAATTTAGCACAAACACCCTCCTTGACTTCCGTGAGCTAGGATTTCACCCAGTATGTTTGAGTACAAGTACTCTAACAGAGTCCAGAAGAAATGGATGGATTCTGCTTCCAGTGCAAAGTCAGCCATCAGGAGCTTATTGTCTGGCCTTTGAATTCTTTTCTACCTTGATCAAATATGATAAAACCAGTTCATATACGGCCCAACTCTGCAAGTCACTGAGCAGCTCCCATTGATTTTAATGGAAACAGCTGGATGTTCAGAACTTCTGGAAATCAGGCTCTTCGTTTGGTCTCTAGCAGCCTGCTCCAAAGCCTGCTGAAATGAATGGGAGTCCTTCTGTTGGCTTTAATGAACTTTGGATCAGGCTCTAATATGGACTTAGGGGCCTAATTTTAGGCCCCCATTTTTCATTATTTTGACCCTGGCTATTAAAGTGTCTCATCTAGCATGCAGAACAGACACACCAATTGTACTAACCATGAAGGCCAAAGGGCAGGAGTGGATGTTAGCGTGATGGACACAGCAGTTCTCTCCATTTGCATCTTTCCAGTTGGAAGGGCACTCTTGTTCTTCACAGAACTTCTTGGCTGCTGCAGCATTGCTAACCATTTTTTTAAAATACAAAGATAATTTTATATTCATTTCTCATTCCTAAAAAATTTTAACGGGCATGTAATGAAGTCCTGTTCTTTACACTGCACAGATATACACAGCAGGAGACACATTGCTATTTCTTTATATTGTTTTGCTGTGTGTGGAAATAACCCCACAGCGATGGATCTCTGCTATCAACTGGGCCATCGTCTGGTCCAGAAAAGGTCTGGCAGCTGTTAATCCTCCAGCAGTTGCCATCACCTCAACCTGGCCCTCCACCCTGACAACACCACCAGATGGGGTATCTTGGCCGCACAACCCTGGCTCAGATCTTAATGCCACTTCTGATGATGTCCATCTTACTTATAGTCTCTGCACCATCTCAAATGAGTGATTGTCTGTCTGAACTTCAGGGCATTCCTTTGTAAACATTCTTTACTTCAAAACAACGTAACTGATTATTTTCAAGTGTGGCTTACTTTGTAGATATGACTGAGACTTAAAATCTAAAGACTTTATATAGTGTACTGTTACTGGATTCAAAGCTCTATTTAAAAAAACAATTTTTATCCTATTACAAATTGTGTTAACTGACAAGTAATTAGTAGTGTTATAAAAGCAGAATACATTTTAAAGAGACAGAGTTAAGGTTCACCTAGGGTAAATTTTTCAAGAGTGTCTTAAGGGCAGATTTACAAAGGGGTTTAGGCACCTAAAGATGCAGTTAGGTGGCTAGTAGGATTCATAAAAGTGCTGAAGCACCTAACTCACATTGACTTCCCCTAGCTCCTAACTTGGAGTTAGGCGCCTGACCTGCTTAGGCACTTATGAAAATCCCACTAGCCACCTATCTGTGTTTTCAGGCACCTAAATACTTTTGAAAATCTGGCCCTTGCGCATTTTTTAACATTTTACCCCTAAACTCTAAGATCTCCATTCAGCGAAGCGCTTAAGTACTTGTCTCATTTTGGGCCCAATCCAAAGCCCTGGGAATTCTATAGAATGACTCCTGTTGACTCCAATGGCCTTGGGATCAGGTACTTTAAGCAAGGCAGCATCCCATTGATGCTAATCGGACTACTACCCTATTTAAAAAGAGGCGTCTTGTTGAACTGGTGCCTAAGGGTCCTGTCTTTGAGTGTTTGATACCTGTGTGTATTATTAATGCATTCAGAGTGAGATTTTCAAGCGTTCCTAAATGATATAGGAGCACAAGTCCCATTGGAAAGACTGTAGCAATAATCCTATTTCCAGCTATTGAAGAAAGTTTATTTTATGGCTATATCATCACAATGCTATAATTTACTGCTATGACATTATAGCTATGAATATTTTGGGGAAAATGAAGAAAAGTTTTACCATTATTATTACAGATCATTACTAAAGTTTATGCAAAAGCCCTCAGTACCCACATGAACAAAATACAACTTCATGATTAAAGCCGCCTATGCTGTCAAAATTCCTCCCCACCTAACAATCTTGAATATCAGCTTTAAATATTAAAGAACATGTAAAAACTATTCTCTCTGAAGAACTACTCTCACAAATCGGATCTTGTAAAAATGAACACGTAGGAGGGCACGGGAACATTTTCTGTGTAATCTGAATTTTTGCATTTACCATCTTTTTTAACCCACCAAATACCTAAAAACAACATAGAAAATGGTGAAATGAGGTTAAGGCCCCAATCCTACATTGCTCTGCATGGATCATAGTACATGATTGGGGCCTAAATATGCATCTCAGTGATCCAATGTCACAAGCTGCTTAGCTTTAATACTTGTCATTACAATGGCATCATGTTAATCCCTCGATTTTGCCTTATTATACAAAGTTACATTTGTAGAAGTTTCTGTAAGTGTGTTGATCTAGATACATTAGGAAAATTCTGGCCCCATTGAAGTCAATCGGAAATTTGTCATTGACTTCAACAGGCACAGGCCTGGGTCCATACTGTAGTTAATGTGTGTGTTGTGCATTAACAATTATTATTGGTATTATTATTCATATTGAGACCTATAGGCCACAACCAAGCTGGGTCCCAGTGTGCTAGACACTGAACAAACATATCCATGCCCCAGTGATCTCAGTATGTAAAAGGTAAGACGTAATAGTGGGATGAAACAAGCAGTCTGGGTTGAGGATGGGAGAGATGAATAACAAATATAATAGCCTATGCACCACCCAACTATTCAGCAGCAGTGATTATTATTATTAATACAAATTATTGTTTGTAGTACCATAGCATGTTTGAGCCCCAGTCATGGACCAAGGCCCCATTGTGCTAGGCACTGTACAAACACAGAACAAAAAGGTCGTCCCTGCTCCAGAGAACTTGCAATATAAATACAAGACAAGAAACAGCAGATGGACACAGAGAACGCAAAGAGGGAGTACAAGTAAACAATGAGACAATATTGGTCAACGTGATCGGCAGTGGTCTCAGTACACCAGTGGCCTACCCATTCCCAGGAGCTTAATCCTTTGACACCTTGTCTACACACAAACCTGCACCAGGAGGTGGTACCTGTAAGAGAGGATTCCGTTTTGCACAGCATAGTGGTAAAAGTGATCTGAAGCAAAGACTGCATAAGTTACATTGAAGAATTCCCCACTCACAGCCTTCTCTGGAGGTCTCTGGACCCAGGCCATCTCAAGACCTAGAAATAACACACAGTTTTGGGTCAACATGTTTGGTTTAACCTACTACAGCTACATGCAACTGGACAGATTGTTCTGGAGTAGAAATCCAATTGAAATGTAAATGTTTTTACAAATATTCTTCCGGTCATTACTGCTGGCCAAAGGATTTCCCCATGTATAGTGTACAGGTAGTTCCAAAATAACACCTATTGGAGAAGAATGTTTTTTTTTTTAAAAAATCCCTACAGTGTGCAAGCTAACTAATCAGAGCACTTGGAAATTTAGGACCAAACCCTATTCACTTTGCTCAGGTGGGCCTGATCCTCTTCTGACTTGGATCAATTTCACTCCAGTGTAACGCAGCTGACTGCAGTGCAGTTATTCCTGATTTACACTGTTTTCCTGCTAGTAACAGTTAAGAACATAAGAACGGCCATACTGGGTCAGACCAAAGGTCCATCTAGCCCAGTATCCTGTCTTCTGACAGTGGCCAATGCCAGATGCCCATCCCCTGTTGCCCATTCCCAGCTTCTGGCAAACAGAGACTAGGGACACCATCCCTGCCCATCCTGGCTAATACCCATTGATGGACCTATCCTCCATGAACTTATCTAGTTCTTTTTTGAACCCTGTTATAGTCCTGGCCTTCACAACATCCTCTGACAATGAGTTCCACAGGTTGACTGCGTGTTGTGTGAAGAAGTACTTCCTTTTGTTTGTTTTAAATCTGCTGCCTATTAATTTCATTTGGTGACCCCTAGTTCTTGTGTTATGAGGAGTAAATAACACTTCCTTATTTACTTTCTCCACACCAGTCGTGATTTTATAGACCTCTATCATATCTCTCCTTAGTCTCTTTTCCAAGCTGGAAAGTCCCAGTCTTATTAATCTCTTGGTTATGTCAAGCCATAAATACAGTCCTCCTTTCTCAGAGGGTATATCACTGAACAAAGCATAGGAATCAGTACACACAGAGCCAATTCCTGAAAACCCTTAATCACATGAGTAGTCCTTACTTAAGCAAGTAGTCTTCTTAAACACGACTACTCATGTGAGTAAGTGTTACTATTCAGTAGTGATTTCCTTTTCCTTATAATTAGATGTGATTAGAACTTCTCTTCTATTACACTGGAGTTTTCCTTTATCAGAATATTCTTCATTTGGATACCGTATGGTAATCTAAACGATTTGTTTCTGCACATAATTCCCTTTTCAGATATAAAAGGGTTAATTATAAAAGAAACAATCCTTTTGGGTCAACAGCATTAGAAGAACAATCATAACAAATCATTAAAAGGTAAAATAATTGTTTAGGTTGAGAGTATTTCATGGCAGCTAGGTGAGCAGTCAAATAAATTTCTTAGAGCAAAAGGCTTTATTTCCTTGAAAAGGATTCACAACAGCAGCAAATCCCTTTATTTAAGTCTATTCACTAATAGATACATATGCACACCAAAGAAATCGTGGATAACAGAGATGTGAAATACACCGGGGTAGAGAACATCCAATTTATAGTCAATACTCTTTGAACTTCACCATTTGATCTGAACTTTGAGGCAATGTTAACATTATTATGTTACATTCTGAGCCTGAGCCTTCAGTCTGTACCCAGACTTCAATGGAAGTTTTACCAGTTTATAGCTTGTAGTATTGGGTCCTGTTATTTCTCTTTGCAGCAGTACGTCAGAAGTTGTTGCATTTCATCCTAACCTTTTCCAGCATTTATATAACTGCTTATTTGCATTCATCATTTCGATTCTTATTTCTGATTACTCCTAAACGCTTTAAAAAAACACTTTGAGTTTCAAACAAGTAGCCTTTACATTTCTGATTCTTTTGCACTAGAAACTCATCTTTCAAAGTATTATTTGTAGGTGTATAAAGATCTAAGATTCATTATTTGTGTCTATTGAATAGAGGTGTGGGGGGAATTAAAGCATGAAAATACATATGGGGAGGCTCCACTTTTTGACTTAGTGTTTAAATAAATCCCATCCAATCTGAAACAGGCATGGTAAAATTGAAGCAAGTACTAAATACTATCTGGCTGCAATGCAGGGCTGATTGTTTGTTTTGTTTAGGCTGTTTGTTTATTTTTTTTCTAATGTCAAACAAAATTCCTTGCTTGAAGACAATGATTTCATTCTTTTTTAATCATTCTAATTATGTTCCCTTTGGAACAGATGCGCTCCAGACAAATATTTATTCTGAAGTACATGTGTGCTGGCCACTTTCCTTGACTTAATTCATCTGGAAAGAGATGTTGCTGCTGACTGAAATATTTTCCACTAGGATTGAGACCTGAGATGTATTAGGAATTATTCTCATTACTTAAATTTTCACATTCTCATCCATTTCCTTAGCAGGCAGAGATGATCTTCCCTGAGCAACTATGGAACCCACTCACCTCCACAGTCAAGCATGTTATACTCATCCGGTTTTTCCAGGGGCCAGCAATCATAGTCGCTGTTATCCAGGTCGTGCCACCCGTCCACTAATATCACCTGCCATGGAAAAAAACATACCAATAATCCTGTAAAACAGAGGAATTTTTGTCTACAAAGTCTGGTCTCTTAAAATAGAAAGTCTCTCCAACTTTCTGGACCAAAGATCACAGCCAGGAATAACCTAAATGCTCAGAAACTAGATTACGGGTTCATTATACTCCCACATGACCCCCCAGAAATTATTTCTAAAACAATAAGAGAAACTCAGCTAATCCAGTTGTGCTCTGGGTTTAAACAGAACTCAGCTTGTGTGCTTTTTAAATGTCATTCTCCAGCCAAATCTTCTCTTCCTTTTCTTTTTAATTTTAAATCATTTTAATATAAAATAGCCTTAATAAAATAAATATAAACATGTTTTATAACATGTAAAAGTTATACTGAATTTTTTTAGAATTTCTTTTTTCTTAATAGTATTTTATTAATGCATACTATGTTCTATTAATGAAAGTAGAATATATTAATCACAACTGATGGGACACAAAGTATATAGCAGAAAAACAGCAGGATATATTATAAGATATATTATACTTTGTAAACAAGAATAGAATAGTCCGCTTTTTTCTAGGTATTAGTAAAAGAATATGATAGAACATGTTCTTCTAATGTATTCTGCTATTCTATATATTGGAAGAATAGAATAAAATACAATATGATATATTCTTCTTATGTATTCTATTATATTTTGCATATTAGTAAAACAGTAAATAGAATACAATATAGTCTTCTAATGTGTTCTCTAATGATTGTTCCATACATTTAGTGGAATAGAATGCAACATATTCTCCTAATTAGTTTCCTATATATTAGCAGAATAGAATATTTTCTTCCAATAGATTCTGCCATTTGTCTTCTGCATACGAGTGGAGGAGAGTAGAACCAACTGTTCCTATCTATATTAGTGAAATAGAATATATTAGGAACAATCCGTAATTCAGAAGTAGTAATAGCAACCACTGCAATACAATATCATTAATTCTTGGCTACGCACCATATAGGAGAAGGAGCTATGCAGTTTACCTACCAGTAAACTGAGGAGGCTTCGGAGCCCAGGGGCAGGTGTTTTGGCAGCTCCCATGGTCCCAAATAGGCATCGAGCCCAGTTAGCTTCAGGGCTGCTGCTGCTGCAGCTCAGCTGGATTCTCCCCTCCCCACAGGTTGCCAGCCAGCCAGGGTTGATCACAGCTCTAGCGGCTGCAGTTATTTGTCCTCCTTCCTTTCCCCTTCCCTTTGTGCAGTGGGAATCTCCCCACTATCCCGAGCAAAGCACCTGTGAGGAGGCACCAGATTGTCATCTCAGCCACAGAGCCGCTCCCCTCCAAGTACCCAGGCGCTGCGGGAAGGGAACAGCGCCGGGAAGGAACAGGAGTGTGAAGACTTTAGCCCCTCGCCCAGGTGGCTCCTGACCCTCAGGTCTTCTCTTGTTCCCTGTTGGGAAATTTCCCCAAAGGCCTGCTAAGAGAGTTGCAGAAGAATGCAGGCTCGGTGTGGGGTAAAATGGATTCATAGATTCTAAGCACAGAAGGGAGCATTTTGATCTAGTCTCACCTCCTGTATAACCCCGGCCATAGAGTTCCACCCAGTTACCCCTGCATTCAGCACGATAACTTGTGTTGGATCGCAAACACACTGCCTCTGCACATGCAGTATTGCTGTCTATTGGTTTGGTAGGCCGAAGGCTGTATTAAAGCTCATTTCTGCTGTACTCAGTTTCACTCTGTGTTTCACTTTAAATTCTGTTTGCAAGCCCAATAGCTCAGAATGAAATCTGGTCATCTAAGGTTTGAAAATTCTTAAAAGAAAATTTTTGTGAGCAATCTCAGAATTCAAATCCATACTTGAAGGTGAAAAGAAAAAAGGGCCTTGAGAGAAATCTCAACAACATACTTCACACATCATTCTATTTATCTTTTAAAAAAAACAGAGAGACAGAGAGATGTGTACACAGTAGGATTGTTTATCCAATGTGTTTTGCTCCTTATTCTGGTTGTAAATAATCTGTAAAGAGACTGATTTTTGTTAACTTGTTCAAGTTGTTTGACTCAAAGCTGTTTGATTATCATTAGCAGAGCCAGCTCCTCTGCTGGTGTGAATCAGCAGAGAACCATTGACTTCATTTAGTGACACCAGTCACTACTATACTGTAATGCAGTTAAGGTGACCAGATGTCCCAATTTTACAGGTACAGTCCCGATATTTGGGGCTTTTTCTTATATAGACTCCTATTACCCCCCACCCTCTGTCCCGATTTTTCACACTTGCTATGTGGTCACCCTAAATGTAGTCATTCAGCTTGGTCCCTTTAAAGGGCCTCTGAATGATTCAATGGAAAAAGATACTTAGAGTGACTTCAATGGAATTACACCGATTCACACCAGCTGACCTCTATGTTGACATATTTATGTCTATGGGTTGTTTGCAAACTGCTTGCTGTGTCTTTGGGTATTAACTATTCATTATTTGTGGAATGCAGCTGGTCACTTAGGTCATATGGCACTGCTTCAGTTTCCTAATTGGATGGCTAACTTTTCGAATCAAACAGAAGGTAATTAAAGAGATTTCAAGATTGAAGTCTGAGTAAGTCCTTGTAAATCTTTGTGTGGACACATTCACATCAGTATTCATGGGACTCAGAATATTCTTGTGAACAAAGCGACATGCATACAAATGTTTGCAAAAAACAATAAAAAGGGTTATCAACATTGCTGAAGGAAGTTTGTGATGTATTTTAACACACACATTGTGCTTCCTTAGAAGATTTATCTTAGAGGATTCAGTTGAAATAAGACATGCTATACTGGTACATTCAAATTTTGGAATATTTGTAATTCTACAGGTATCAACATTTGGTCTGCAGTTTGCAATGTTGCAGTCACATGTAAAAGAGAGGGTAAGTACTCCCGCCTAGTGGCTTTAGACCAGAACAACAGCATACAGAAAAGTACAGTTTGACTTGGGTATAGATTAGAGCTTCCTGCTGCTTCAGATGCCAGGCAAATGGAATGATTAGAACTTCAGCTGCAGGCAAGTGATAAGCGCTATGCATCAGCTGGACTGTGTGGATTCAGGAAGGCTGTGTTTAGGAATTGCACAGCACCCATTTGAGAGAGATAGTGTGGTCCAGTGCAGAGGGCTGGAGACCTAAGGTAACATTTTAGTCACCTAAGTGATTTAGGAGACCAAAGGTAACATTTTAGTCACTTAAGTGATTTAGGAATGTACAGTCCATTTTCCAGATTTAGGAGCCTGTCAAATTGGAAGTCAATGGGACTTAGGGTCCTAGGTGCCTAAGTCCCTTTGGAAAATGGGATTTAGGATTCCAAATCCCTTAAGTATTTTTGAAATTTGTACCCTGGGACACTATTCCTGGCTCAGCCTCTGAGGTTGTGCAAGTCAATCCAGCTCTCTGTGCCTCTGTTTCCCCTCCAATCCTTTATCTGTCCTGTCGATCTAGACTGCAGATTGCTCAGGACAAGGACCTTCTCTCACTATGGGCAATGCCTGGCAGAATGGTATTCTTGGCTGGGACCTCTAGATGATGTTGAAACACAAAAAATAGTGTCAGCTAGAGCCACAAATGTGATTAGATTTCTTACATGTTTCTTGGCAGATACATTTTTTAAAGACTTAATAGATTGGGGTAAATTACATATTAAATGGATAAATGAGGTCTTGCTCCTGGGGGAGGGACATTGGGGGACTCAAGTGCTCTCCCCCCCAGATTGGCCTGCCGGGGATGGGGAGGGAGAAGGGCTCTACCTTCTATCCCTGCACTCCTCCCCCGCCCCCCATCTTTGGCTAAATTGGCTGCTCTCCCTGGCAGCCGGGCAGGGAGCAGGACGGAGCCACATCTGCCTGAGACAGCCTGGCTGGGAGGCAGCGGTGGCCCGCTCCCTGCCTGGGCTCAGCTGTGGAGAAAGGGGACTCCAGCTCACTCGGCTCCTGTCCCCACAGCAGGGCCCGGGCAGGGGGCAGCCTGCTGCCACCCCAGCTGCCAGGGACAGGGGCCGAGCGAGCCAGAAACATGCTGGGGAGGGGGAGAGGGGACTCTGGCTCGCTCACCCCTATCCCTGGCAACTGAGGTGGCAGCGAGTCACCCCCGATCCAGGTCCTGTTGCCTGGTGCCCCGCTCCCTCCCCCCAGCAGCTGAGCCCAGGCTGCCTCCTAGCCAGGCTCTCTCACCTCAGCCTGCAGGAGGTGCTGAGCAGCTCACAGGATTAGGCACCAAGCGCACTGTGGGATAGCAGCCATGCTCATAAACCGCATTAAAGCACTGTTGGGCCCAGATCCACAAGAGGACTTTAATCCCCACTTTTAAGTCCAAAATGTAGGTGCCACTGAGATCATCAAAACACCTGTTCAGTTGCCATGTAACTCTGGAGGCACCTAAATTTTGCCATAAAGGTCCCCTCCATGTCTGTAATTCCATTGCTGGGCATGCACACGACACGTCAGTCAAGGCATCTATCTCAGTCCTAAGCCCCAGTGCCCATCTTCCCCTGGTGTGAGGAACGCGCCACCCCATCTATCTCACCTGCGGGGCCTGACCGGCCGGCGTTCTCAAAACATGCCGAACTCCACACAAAGCAGCAGCAGCAGCTGCCCTCCCTTATAACCTCTAGCCCGACAATTAGCGCACTCACCGTGAACATGGGAAACCCTGACAATTCCTCCCTCCTCCTTATGAGGAGAAGGAATCTGAACATGGGTTTTTCACCTCTCAGGTGAGTGCCCTAACCACGGGACTACAAAAACGTATTCACTCTCTCTGCCCCACCCCATATTATTTCAGTATTTATAGGCAGTGGAACAGCTTTAACACATGAGATTGCAAGAGGCCTATATCAGACTACCCCAGAGCAGAGTGGTTCGGGCACTCACCTGAGAGGCGGAAAACCCATGCTGAAATCCCTTCTCTTTAGGTAGAGGATGGAAATGAACTGGGGTTTCCCACATCATTGGTGAGTGACCTAACCACTAGGCAAAAGTTATAAGGGAGAAGGAGGCATGTGTCACTACCTCTCCCCCACATCCTCTTATTTATTTTGTGCAGAGTTAGGCGTGAGCTGCCACCGTTCATGCAAGAAACAGCCCGACTCCAGGAGAGCATTCCCAGCTGTGGATCCCAACCAGAGATAGGTGCTTCCCTCCTGCGTGGACTCAGGTGCCTAACTCCCTGAGGCTACGTCTACACTACCGCGGTACGTCGACCTACACTACGCAACTCCAGCTACGTGAATAACGTAGCTGGAGTTGACATACCTTAGGTCGAGTTACCACAGGGTCTACACAGCGGCGGGTTGATGGGAGAAAATCTCCCATCGACTTACCTTACTCTTCTCGTCGGGGGTAGAGTACAGGGGTCGACTGGAGAGCGATCTGCTGTCCATTCTTCACTAGTCGTGCTAAATTGACCGCCGGTGGATCGATCTCAGAGTGTCGATCCCGGCTGTAGTGTAGACCTGCCCTGAGAGGGGCAAGGTCTAGGAAACACCCTTCTCAACAACCTCTGTTTTTGGCTAGGCTCAGACAGCTCCTGTCCCAGCATGTGGCTTCAGTGGATCCCATTCTTTGGCCCTTATCTCTCTCCATGCATTGTATAGGGAGCCTGGGCACCTAATTCAGGCTTTGTGGATTTGGCTGGGTGCCTAAAGGTTAGGCATTGTGATACTCCGTCCTAAATCTGCAACGCCAAGGTGCTTGTGTGGATTTGGGCTTTGAATACTTAAACTTGCAGCTTATTTATTTCTCTCTCTCAAATGTGTGTATATGGGGGGAAGGCGGTTGCCCTGGGGAAGCTCAAAGGAAAGAAGCAACCATACCTTAAGAATGAGAAATAAAAACAAACCCACAAACGCTCCCAGTTGTTCCAAGAGATCTGAAATCTTGGTTTTAGCTGATGAATGTTTGATGACAGTTTAACTCAACTGTAGCAGAAGGAACTAAGTACTTAATCAAGCTTGCAAATAGTACATGTTTTACACAAAGGAATAAAGCTGACAGGCAGTAAGCCAACATGACAGCTCAAAATAAGGGCTTGTGAAGAGATAATTAAGGAAATTCAAGATTGTGGGAAACCTGAACTAAGCAAAACAAAGCAAGGAAGGTAAATATGCAGTATGGCACCCAGGATATCATATACATAAATATAATGTGTAGTTATAGACTTCAGAATGATTCAAACTTGGACCTGCATTGGTATGCTGCACCAACAATTAACAACAACAACAACAATAACAATAATAATATCTAGCTCTGATCCAGCATTTTTTTTTTGTTCATTGATCTCAAAGTGCTTCACAAAGAAGGTAAGTATCATTATCCTCA